AAAGCTCTTTATTTGGATAAGTACATTGAGTGCTATAGTAAATGTACAACATATGGCTGGACATAACAACCATAGGTAAAATTTCTTTTAGTTGCTAAACAAGTGAGTCTAGGGTCATTCACCTATAAGGCAATATCAAGAGCTAGTTAAAACTTGTAATAATTAACATTAAGTTGACTTAGAGCTTTCTCTCTAAGAAAAGTGTCTTGGTTGGACTTGCTATTATCATAAAGAGATAGCTAAATCAAGGCCATTTTTTAGCAACATACATTTTGACTAGTGTTGTGTAGAAAGATCAACTTCATTGTATTACCAATAGAGGTAAAAAAAACTTTACTTGTGACGCTACAATATCAAGACAATTAGCCCCTACATGGGGTTAGACATGCAAATAATCTTGAAAAGGTAGTCACAAACAAACCAATCCTGTAGTTGCCTAACTTCACTCAATCATTTGAGGTGCACCAGATGCATTTGACATGGCCATCAACAATGTTGTGATATATGAGAAGCATTTGGTAGAAAATGAGAATTAAAAGCTCAACAAGATGGAGTGACATTATTCAATGCATGTGATAGAGGTAATGATATATGGTCTTGAGGGTGTGAGGCCATTATCTCTTATGCGGTTAGTTCAAGATAGTGAAAACTCATGCCAAAACATGTTCAATAGTAATACTTCTTGATGGAGTATGACTTCACCTCTCAAATATAAGTTATGGTGAGCCAACATGTGTCTAATACCCTGCAAACATTCCAAATTAAGACAAGATCTTTATAAGCAAAACCAATAATTTCAATACAAACATCTTTATTCCTTTTTATTAATTTATTTTGTTCAAACTATTCAAATACCAAGGATACACAACTCATGCAAAGCATGGGACACCATCCACAAACTGACGACCAAAAAAAATTGAGAAGTCATTGTGTGAAAAGTACCTCAAATGTTACTCTTCAAGCAATCAAAAATCATGAGATACATTTAAATTTTTATAAAGGAGTGATCCTCTACCTCTATTATGTCATGGATCACTACCAACTCCTATAATAGCTGTTGGCATCTAATTAAAATTCAAAGATTAGGCACTTCACTCAAATATCACCTCAAGAGAGCTCATAATCAAATAAAAGTGAAGGTCAATCAATATCAAAAGGATGCCCAATCAAATTTATCTATAGCTATAACCCTACAAGATGACATCCTTAGGAAAAAAAAACTAAAATTAAAATTTAGCTCCAAAATATTATTAACCCTTCAAGATCTTTGACAACATAAGACTTGAAGCATACCAGCTCATTCTATCCCCATCATCTTTACTTCACCCTATATCTTATGAGTCTCAAGTATGCAAGACATTTGGACTGAATAATTGTAGTCAAGTATTATAAAAAAAAATCGTAGTGAATTTTATTTGATCTTACAAGTCAAGAGATAGTTACATGTTCATTCCATGCCTATCAGATTATACGCTATAACTTAGTGGGACTAAAACACTAATTTGAAGTTTTGTGAGAGCTAGTTAGTAGCATTCAAAGAAAGGTTCCTAAGTTTTGAGATAAGGTGGTCAATGGAGAGAGACTATTGAGATGAAACCACTTATTATATACTATAAAATAAAAAAAGGATCAGTCCAAAATGGACAGCCTATGGATCAACCCATGGGTCAATCTGAGTAAGAAAGAAAGACAAGATTGTAATTTTTCAATCCTTTGGGAGTATTAGCACCCAAGCTTGTGGATATGCAGCATCATTTTGAAAAAAAAGGGGAAACTAGAGAGTCAAAGTTTCTCAAAAGCCTTTTGAAGTATTCTACAACACAAAATCTCTAAACCTTTTCTATACACTTGACTTACTTTTTACAAGCCTTTTTACTAGTTTGTAGGTATCCTTTCAAGATCATATGAAATGCTTTGAATTAATTTTTCAAATTTTGATATTTTGGTTAAACTTGCACCTACTTTAAAATCAAAATGTTGCTAGATATTACTCCCATGAAGAAGAAGATTACCAATTTTGTGTATATTTGAAAATTTTAGATAGTAACTTTTCAATAGGTTTTATTGTAGTTTTAGCCAATTGAAATGTTGTCTCTAAGTTTTGAACAACTAGGAAAAAAATCAGATTCATCATCTAAGTTACTAAGAAATTCATTTTGATCAAACAACATATCTTCTTTTTTCAGCATTATCTTTTGAGAAATCAGTTTTTTTATTGGGCCCAAGACATATTTTTAGTTATTATAACGAAAAATATTATCTTTAAAAAGATGCCTAGCATCATTATAAAACTATTATAGTATTCTCAAAATAATATAATATACATCTATTTCAACCAATATTGCACTAAACTTCTTCAATATATGGTTTTTCAATAAAAGATTTACGAAATGAGTTTTAGAAACTTTGATTTCGTTTTTTTAATAATCTCATTAATTCAATATGGATGTAAGTGTAGTTCTATCTTCAATCCTAATTTTCATATCATACTAAAAGAGAGACTATTTTTTCTACTATTGATGTTATCAATTATATTATATATCTTGTGTTCATTGTGTATTTTTTAAAAAACAATTATGTCATTACAAATATAAAGGTTTTTGACTAAAAAAGTTCACATAGAAGGTATTAAGCAAATATTGTTAAATACAAGCATTGTTTTTGGTCTAATAGTCAAGGTTGAGAAACATTAACTAACATGAGTTATCTTGTTAGAAATTTAAAAAATTATTATTTAAATTTTCATTTTATTTTATTTTAAAAGAAACTTTTTACATGAGATGGCATAACTACATTTTCCAATCTGAAAGATGACAATTTTTTTTTTCTTATATCCCATCTGAGACCATTTTAAATCTCAAAATCATATATGACTCTAATTTTATCATATCAACTTGTAATGTTAGTTAGTGATTTACTCATATGTTGAAATAGACCAAATATCCTTTTTATAGTTTTAATATTGTTGATATATACTTTTTTCATAATCTTGTAGAAGAAATTAATTTTGAAGTAATTTATTTAATTTATTTAAAGTGTGAAAAAAGGTCCTTATTTGATCACACAAGTGGACTGCAATTGTTCTCATAATGTAGAGGTTTCACCCTCTAATTTATAAATGACTAATTTTACTTATTTTCATCTAAAATCTTTGTCTAATCAAAAAAATGTTCAACCAGCTAGTCACTTTAGAAATTCTTTGATTTGTAAATGACTACTAAAACTTGATAAATCAATTTTCATATGAAAATCTTGACAATCATTATCTTCAAATCAACTATTGTAACTTCAAGAAAAAACTTTTTGAATTAACTCAAAATCGATATTCTTCTTAGTATACTAAAAGTTATTTTAATGCTCAATTGATCTTTCCAAATCATTGATTAAGAGATTCTTGAAAATTAATAAAATCTCTCCATGATAAAGGGCATATCTCAAGAGTCTCATCTTCATTGAACTACACATCTTTACTTATAAATATATTTTAATTTAAATTTGAAATGAAAAGATCATAATAGGGACTCTTGAATCTACAAATAGAAATAAGGTATCTTCACAAGAGAAAAAACTTATAATATTTCAATGACTTATCAAATTACAATTGGAGGACTTTTGTATAATCCTAAAATGGAGGTGAGATGCTCCCAAAAGGTTAAACCGATCTTAAACAAAATTTTAAAACCAACTTGTACAAAATTAAAATAGACCATTAAACAACAAAAAATAGACTTACAATAGAATCAAATGAGATTATGAAATCACAGAAATTGAAAGTTGTTTCTCTTACTTTATTGGGGTCCAATTAGCTTTTGAGCTGTCTTTTGGCATTTGCCTCTTTACAACTCAATTTTAAAGTAGTTGGGCCTCTTCCTTAGGACTCTTCTTAAGCTTTAGTTTTCTGAGCTACATTATTGAGATCTCCTAAGAAATTTTTATATTTTCTTGACATTGTATGCATCAATGTACACCTTTGACTCTAAATATTTTACCCCCATCAAGATTTGTGATGTCTACACATCTAGTGACAAATATTTCAACAATGTGATGTCTAATGCAATGACTTTAACACTTTGTCTAACTCTTTGGTATTCGCATCTTCCAACCATGAATTCTCATTTTTAACAATTATCTTACTCACATGTGCATGCACATCTTCAAATTATTTTTCCATTGTTTGGAATCAGGCTTTTACAACCTCTACAGAGGTTGCAACCAAAAGGATCTCTTACTCCAACCAAATAATCTTATACACTTGGCAATGTGTGTGCTAGTCTCACATATCATTCATTATCTTCTTTGAACTTTGATGCAAAGTCGTCATGCAGTGATCAACTTATCTTACCTTTGATCACTCTACCATATGCTGAATTTAGTCTTACTTCATGACACCAAACAATCTTCACCCTTGAAAAATCTTATCATACTTAAAAGTTTTAGAAGTGAGACTAATTTATAAGAGTACACTTGTTGAAGGGAGGCCAATATATTCTACAAGACTTATAAGCCACTCAATGTAAAAGAAATAATGTTTCGGCCATATTGCCAAGTGCTTGCATTCATGTGCCTCGAGGAAGAAAACAATCGCCACCGTCCATCTATGAGCGAGAAAGCCGATTCCTTCCGTTCATCTACTGACCCTCCATCAACACGTCACGTCAAGTAAAGCCGTCTAGACAGAAAGGAGCCACTAGCATCACCCTTGTCAGCCACGACAAGTGTGGGTCCAGTGGCCATGTCGCCTCCACGCGTCGTACCTCACAGACCAACACGCCGCCGTCCAAGAAATCCAAAACAGAAGCCCCCCCCTCCCCCCCCCTCTCTCTCTCTCTCTCTCTCGCTACGGGACTGTGGCCGCTCAGGTCGCCGGAGGTCGCCGTCACTTTGCCAAAAGAGAAACCCGCCGCCCATCTCGACGAAAGCTGCCGCCTTTCTTGGACTCTTCCTTTCCCCCGCCACCTTCTTCATCTCCAGGGGAGTAGCTCCCTACCTCTTCCTTCCTCATGGAGAAGCTCAGCGACGGCCCTCCTGCTGCCGGCGACAAAGCTTCTCTACGCTGCCACCAACCCCCTCCTCCACCGGCCACAAAGCAAATCCCCAATGAACGGCGCACCGTCGATACGCCGCCGTGCCCACGAAAGACGGGCTCCCACCTCCGCCGGTCGTCCTCCTCCTCCGCCACTGCCACCGCCACCGCCACCGCCGGCACCGCCGCCCCGAGGGTCGTCCTGTACAGCACCTCGCTGCGGGGGATCCGGCGGACCTACGAGGACTGCTGCGCAGTCCGCAGCATCCTCCGCTGCTTTGGGGTATGGATCGACGAGCGGGACGTCTCCATGGACGCCGCCCTCCGGAGGGAGCTGCAGAGCCGCCTTAGCGGCGGCGCCGCCGCCGTCCTGCCGCAGGTCTTCGCCGGCGAGCGGCGGCTCGGAGGGGCAGAGGAGATCCGACGGTTGCACGAGGACGGTGGCCTGGCGGAGCTCCTCGCCGGAGTCGCTCGGCGTGACCCGCGCTTCCTGTGCGCCGCCTGCGGCGGCGCGAGGTTTGTTCTCTGCGGCAGCTGCGACGGCGGCCGGAAGGTTTTCGACGAGGAGGAGGACCGGCGGCGCAGGTGCCCCGACTGCAACGAGAACGGCCTGGTCCGGTGCCCCCACTGTTGAACATCATCATCATCATCATCATCATCATCATCCAAGAACCCTACTTCTTCCGTCATGGCTAGGATTTCTAGATCTCTGCAACACAGGAATGAATGCAAAAGGGAGTCATCTTCCTGAGCTTCTTTGGCTCTTCTCTGCAGGGATTATAGATCATGGTGTGTCGATAACTGAGGCCTGTGTTAATTAGTCTTCATCTCTCTCTCTCTCTCTCTCTCTCTCTCTCTCTCTCTCTCTCTCTTGCTAATTGGAGTAATATAATCTAGATACTGTAAGATGGGCTCCAAAAATGCTGGCACCGCAAGAAAATGCTGTTTCAGGGTACTCATTAGAGATAGCCTTTTAGACTCTTTGACTGACATTTTCTACTCTAAATTTCTTGAAACTTATACAAAATACTTGTCGCAAAGAATCCAAAATTAATCAATTTTAGAGATAATATTTACCTAAATCAGTACCAATATATATATGTAAACTTATATTAAAACCAGAGATCGCAAATCATAACGATACTTAATATTTAATATAATTGAAACTCTTCAAACTATTATGATATGTACTTTCGGATAAATACCCAGATAAGTAATAAATAAACCTATATAAATCTCATCATGAAAAGAATACAGATGAACTGCTAATAATTATTGAAATCTAAAGGAAAAATATAGAAATTTATTCTTCATTTCCTTCATTTCTTCAACTCTGAATCATAGTGATAGAAAATATTTTAAAAAAATCAGACTAATGCGTAATCCAAATGTAGAGCATGAGGAAAAAGACAGTTGGTCTTCAAGAACACAAGTTATAGCTCAAGAAGCCCTTTAATGCTAGAGAGAAGCCCTTATCAACAGCTTCAGGAGACGCCTCAATGTAATGAGCTCTTCTCTCTCTCTCTCTCTCTCTCCACTAACATCTGGTCTATTCAATTCCAACAGCCTGAAAATGATTGAGTTAAGTGTGGTAGAACAAGAAGGTGACCCATTGCAGAAGGGAACTGATCGCAGCTTGATAGCTTCAGTAATCAGTCCCTTCCAGCAGATATGAGAAATGAGTAATCTAAGTGATCCCCCTGGGAGGCTATGACTTTGAATAAAAAACTTGAGTAGGATTCGGAATCCAAGACCCATGATTTCGCAAGAACATGCTGCAAATACTATCACCAACACCATTTTCAAACATCTTCCTTGGAAAATTACTTGCATGGGAAATCTTCCCCTGCTGCAGTAAGCTTCGAGTACGGCGCTGTAAGGTTTATTGAGGCTGAAAAATATGACTACTGTCTAGAAAGATAGAAGCTTCACTAAATCTACCACACCTGCAAAGGCCATGCAGAACAGAAACATACACCTCGTTCGTTATCAGGCACTACGCTCATTTCGGGCATTTCTTCAAGAAGGTTAGCTGCATCATCCAATTATACATTCTCACAAAGGTTTCACCATTTGAAACAGCTTCTTTGGTTCAATGAACCTATTAAACTTTCAGAAAGAGGCATCATGCAACCAAGAAAATCAGGATCAGGCTCACAGTTGCATTCGATCGTCTCATCCATAACCTTGGAGGACTCTTCAACGCGACCGTCAGAGTCTCAACTGTCTTGCTATTTGGCAAATATCCCATCTTGTTGCAGAGTTATGACATGGCCGGTATGGAGCAGGGCCTCAATTAGACAATTAAGGGTTTCCACTCTGGGTACAAAATCACCGTTGACCATCAATTAAAATTAATTGATTTTTAAATTTCCATTTTTCTCGCAATACAAAATGCTAGCCCACGTTAGAAGTAGCTCGATTATCCTCATCTCCGCAAATAATCCGCAGTCTCATAGGGTTCCTCACCAAAAAAATATCCAGCTAAAATATCTACTGACGGATTATTGAAGCTGCGATGATAATAGAAGCAACATGATGCGACCCAAAACTGTTTTCAAGATGGGACTTTTGGATCAATTTCATTTCTAATAATCTTCTACAGGAAGAGGCAAGGACTCTATTTTTTTAGACTATCCTATAAATCGGAAGATGATTAATGGTCTTGTGGGCAAGATCAACCGCCAAGATCTAAGATGAATTCTGGGGAGCTTGACAAGGATGCTGAGGCAGCAGGTCGGCGGAGGAATTTCCCCTCTCCATGGCCAAAGATGAAGAGATGGAGCAAAATCTTGACACCATGTGCGCGAGAAGTTGTCGTGAGACCTTTATGGAGAGAGTTTTCAGGCCGAAACCAACGCATTTAAGCTGCACGGTGCCCGTCACGGGCTCGGAGATGATCACGAACTTGACACCGAGGAACTCTCGGATTTTCCTCTGTGTTTCGATGCCATATGGGCCGAGTCGCCCAACCCGAACGTTGGGCACATCTGGTGGGCACAGCACGCACAGGAGGAACACCAGTCCCTGCAACAATTCAGAGGATAGAATCAGTGCAAGAATCCAAAAACCATGAGGCGCACTTGTCGGAGGTTAAATGGATTCTCCGATGAATATGAATTCAACTTAAAACATCAATGATTCATAACATGAAGCGCTTGGGGATGTCCGCTCTTCTCATAATTCTGTGAATAACAGGTTGGATGTTCATTCGTTTCTCCCAGCTGCATAGAAGCAACTCGGACACCAGGATCTTCAGTGGGCAACGGGTCTGGCTTCTCTTCAGAATCATTCATATTATGCAAATCTCTGAGACCAAAGATATCCCATATCCAGGAGATCTGACATTAAATAAAATATCATCAAGTTCATTTAAATGAACAGGAACTGGATAGCAGCTGACGAAAACAAAATTTAATGGAAGACTCATTCATCGGAAGCTAGACCAACAAGAAGGAGAAGCCAATTCACAACTATACTGTCAATTAATAAGGAGAATATGACAATGTCATCTTGTCTCTGTGATGTAGTATACATGTAAAAATAATGGCATAGGTCAACGATGAAGAACAAAATATTCGGATATGTCAAACAAGTGAACAGAAGAACAGTCAATCAGGCAGCAAGAGAAGTAAACTGTGCGGAAACAAAAAAACAATCTTTTTAAGGAAAAGTTCATACTTTCCCCCAGATGGTCCAGATTTGTTGTCAATCAAAATTCATACACTTATAGAGAATGCTACACCTCGAATCCTCCTGACCATTTCTTCGTCAAGCCAGTTCGCTGCCAAGGGAAAGAGTGAGAGAAAGTACACGGGCAAAAGCGAGATGGCAAAAAAGCATGGACAGAGAATTTTGTTCAGAAGAGGGAAACTCAAGAACTCACCAACAAGCTACTCTGAACAATAGGAACTCCTAAAGCAAACTCTCCACCACCAAGAGGTGGAGCGCCCCAGCTTTCTATCTTCAAATCCAAACCCTCCAAAGGAACTCTTTAGCCTTTAACGAACAAGACACATTTATAGAAACTACCTCGATAAAGAAGATGGGGAGCTAACTTCTAAAACCCAAAGTGAAAAAGATAGTTTCTAGACAATAATCCACACGAATGATAGTCCGAATTCTGCAGAGCTGAAATAGATCAACGGCCGGTGACTTCAGGATCATCTCATGCCGTATTTGAACAACTGCAGTTGAAGGAAATTAGCTAGTTTCCAGTCTCATCCGTCAAAGTGCCGCGCAAGAGATTTATCATTTGGTCTTTCTGCAAGAGATTTTAGTTGATATGGTCAAAGGAGTACGTAGGTAAGATCACCTATAGCGAATCCCATATTTTTTTTCTGGATAGGTCAAAGTTGCATCAACCCTGTTGAATGAAGAGCCCGGATCTTATTCTTTTGACAATTGGGACATGCTTCAACATACTTTTTCACATGATTTTTCATCCTAATTCATTGTACAATCGAACTAATTCTCTTGTAAGTTCTTTGAAATTACAAGCCGCCCCAAATAGTCTAATTGTAGAATTCTTTGAGAAGGCTAGGAATTAAAGAAGAGTTGTGTGATAACACCAAGCATCTTTGGTGGAAAAGAAGTCCATGGTGAAAAGAATAGGTAGTATACTGTTTCTTTGCATGCTAAAGTTCATTGATAATCTTGATGAGAAAGGAGTCAACTTGATTCTCTTGTACAATTACATTGAAATCTAGATAATGCATATATTTCTTTATTTTTAATCCCTACTCATAGCGAATTTCAAAATTAAATCTAACTATTCTTGATACCCATTTATGGTATTGCATAAATGTTTGACTTGAACATGAGACTGCATAGTTCTAGGTAGGTAATGAATTTGCATCCAAATAAATAGTGTTTTTAACTGACAATAATAAGGACAATAGTCATCAGTTCCCACTTCTAGAACATACTCAACTTACTGATTAATGTTAAGACTTGACTAAAATAGTCAATCAGTCAATAGTGATGCATGAGAATATCTTTGACCCCTCAATTAGATACATTGGCTTCCATTTAAAATGTTTGAGAAAATTTTGGTAGAACTAATAGAGGTGACATTGTGAGAGCTTCCTTCATCATTAGAAAGCTGCCTCCACCTCTAATCTCTAACTGAATGTGTCATTTTTCAATTATTGACTTACTGGCCATGCAAATGACCCGTAGCTCACAGGAAATGAAGATAATAGTTAATAAGGCACATATATCCATGTAAGTCTCCAAGAGTTGCTAAAGAAGGTCATTGAGTAACTTCCTTGACCATGTGTTGGTCAACCAAGACCCAAAGCCAAAATATGTGATTTTCTTCTTATCAAATGAGCACTTATTAGTGTTGACAAGAAATCAATGATTGTGAAGTATAGATAATAATATTGCTAAATGTTGCTCATGGTCCTTCCTATTAACATTGTAGATAAGAATATTTTAAAAAATAACCAAGAAAATTTTCTAGAGAAGTTCACTAGAGGTATGATTCATGAGGGACTAGAATCTTGTTGTTGCATTTGACAATCTAAAAAGTATCACAAGAAATTTGTAATGACCTTCATGTGTGTGAAATGTTATTTTTTTGATGTTGTCTCTAAGTGAAGATTCAATTTTGAAATATCATAGCCTCATAATTCATCTAGTAATTCTTTAACTATTCTCCATTGGAGGGTAGGGAATTCCCAACAAAGTTCCTCCAACTCTAATAGAGTGGAATCCTTAGAGATGGTTAGTCTTCGATGTGTCAAAATATAGAAAATTTCCTCATTGGAGTGTAAGAAAATCCTAACAAAGTTCCTCCAGCTCTAATAGAGTGGAATCCCTAGAGATCAATAGTCTTTGATGTGTCAAAATATATAAACCCCCCCCCCCTCCCCCCCGCACAAACATGGACAATATTTATAAAGTCTTATGTGTCATCTGATTTGATGTCTTTGATGAGGATAGGGGCCAAAGAAAGTGTCGTGAGAATTAGCCACTACCAAAACTATTGCCCCCTTCAGCCGCTCGTGGTTCACCTTCTCAATCCAATCTTCCTCCCTACACCTATTATGTGGAACTTTGTATCTCCAAGGAATCTCCACAAGGTTGGCATATAGCTTGTAAGGTAAATCCTCACTTAGGCAAGAGCCATCATTTATGTTGGAGGTGAGAGCCCATAAAGATCTTGTTGTCGTCAGCTCCATCAAAAGAAGAGCAAGGAGCAAGGAGCAAGGAGACAGTTTCTGAAGGTTCCCCCATAACAAGTGTTACAGCACATTACATGGTATGAAGAATTGAGAAGGCCAATTGGCCACATCTTAGTTTTTTAGTGCCCTCAATCGGGACTAAAACTATTAGTAAGGCATATACCAAAGTAGAAAATCAATATCTTATAATGTACATCTTGATAATCAGTTATATTCCCATTCTCATCATTGAAAGAAATTCTCAGATGATGATATATGATTTGGAAAAGGTGTTGAAGGTTGTTTGAAGTTTGATGAATAAAGATAATGCATGAGGATGATGTTTAGTAAACTTAAAAGAAGAAGAAAACTTCTTCATTTTCTATTACTTTTGGTCTACATTTATTTTGAATTCAACTATTTGATTAGATAGTTTAGTTTATGGCTTACAATTTGGTAGTTCAGTTAATTCACATAAATAAAAATCTGATTTTTAGAATGTTGTAAATTGTTGAATATATAGTTCTTGATAAGAAAGTTAAATAATTATAAACTTTAATTTTTTCATAAATTTTGGATCAATGAATAGCAATTCAAAAAATGTCAAAGGTTGTCTTAGAGTCACACTTTGTCTTGTAAGTTAGTTCACGCATTTCTAAAAGTATAAATTAAAGATTATTTCAATGTTTTTATCACAATAGTAATCTACCAAGTAAGATTTTTATGTTAGAAAGTCATGATAATAAGATTCCATGATAAAAAAAAAATTATATACAATACTAAATTTCCATTTACCCTTGTATTTGATTTATTCATATTTAAGTTTGGTTCTTACTAGATGAGTCAATGTGTTTCCTTAAGTGATAAATTGTACTTGAGTCTTTTCATATTATGTGAATTGACTTACATACTAAGCCTTACTCATGAGTTGACTAACTTATGTAACTTTTTTGGTCACTTCTAAGATTAAAAGAAGTGAACAAAGAAAATCAATAAGTGGTGTCAAGAGATGTTGACATACTAAATTATCAAATTATCCATGTGTGGACTTTTTCACTAGGTAAAACTCATCTAATTAGGTGAGCTTTCTCAAGTCAACTCCATTCTTAGAAACAGAAAGAGATGTTCTAGTCATGCATTTGGCCTCAAAATCAAATTATCATTTCTAAGAGTTATAAAAATATTGCAAAAATATTTTTGAAAGTTCTTGGCAAACGTTTTGCAATGTAAACATGTTTCTATCTTTCTATCTATTTTCCATGATTCAAACTCTAAAAACCAACAAATACAATAATAACGTATATCATAATGTATTTTTTTCTTATATTGATTTGTTCATATGGAGCTCATCAACACCTATTCTTGAAATACATATAACAAAAATATAAATGTCATTCTATTCTTGGATTCTATTAGATGTTTTTTTATAATTAGTACCAACAAGTATTATGATATAAATATTAATAAAATAGTATTACAATGTTACCTAAGAAACATTTTATCCATTACATGTATTTTTGACATCTAAAAATTAATGACTCAAAGTCTTCATACATTGTGCAAGTCAATATTCTAAAATAAATGGCTGATTTAACCATTTATTTATGATACACAATTTGTTTTAAGATGGGATGCAAAAGATCAGTCCCAATTCATAATGATACAAGAATCAGTCCATCCCATTCATAAATCATCCAATAAATCCTTAAAAATAAGAAAATTTAAATATCTTGTCACAAGTCTAATGAAGATAATAGAATAGGGATTTCTATATTGGAAAATAAGTTGTAACTAGATAGAGTGCATTAAGTATCATGAGACAAAGGATATTTCTATTAGTCTAACAAGTAGAAATCATTTCTATTTTTAGAATGGAGTAAAACCGAACTTACTACAAAATGAGAAAATAGTTTGCATTAAGAATTTGGACCACAACCTTGTGCTTTGGTCATGTAACTCCAGGGTCTGATTATTTTTATATAGATTACATATGTGCATCTGGGCATGAATAGAAGATTGACAAGAGAGGATCTAAGATCACTCACTGACCTAGGCTAGAATAGTTTCTCTCTCCTAAATTCTCTCTAAGAGCCAGCTGTTTGTTGATCATAACACTAATATCAACAATCATTAATATTAAATAGTGCCATCATGGAAAACCTAGGAATTACGACCATACGGCAGTGGTAATTAGGGATAGTATGAACACTAAACTATGAGTGACTAATGAAAAAAAGCATAATTTTTAATTCTCTGAGATCTGAATAGTGCTCATCCTTAACAGCAGTAGATGTCTTTAGATGGCACAAGAAATTCTTGAGAACAACGGTGGATGCTTTCAAATTGATATCATCAATACAACAGAATATATTGTGATAAACAAGCCTATATTGCAGCAACATTCTTGCTAAATATGCTACCAGTTGGTTATTAGCCCACATTGAGTTCAAGCTATTTCAGTGGATTTATACTTTGATGAAATGTAGTCATAGATAAATTTCACAAGATTCACAGACAACTTTGAGAAAATTTGATGATTTTATAAAATCCTGCTGAACATTGTTCACCTGCTGTGCTCGCACCATTAATGAGACTGAAACTGTCTTCCAGTAGCAGGAAATTATCTTCTGATCAGTTTAATGAGTTCTTTCAATCAATCGTCGATGAACTTGGAGCTATTCTTTATGGACTGAATTCAAAAGTGTTGCAGGTGAGAAACTCCAGACTTCTGCTGAGAGAGGTAAACCAGTAGAAGCGTGATGGTCCCAAAAATTTGTGAAAATCATTCTGAGGGTTGAGAGAAACTTAGCCTTCGTCACATCAGCAAACGATTTCCCTAAGATAACTTCACAAGCCCTTCTTCTATCTTCTACCAACAGGATTGCAATCTCTATAATTCTAGAGTTAGAGAACTCTCTGTGGGTCACCTCAGGCAATTAAGCTTAGAATCAAACAAAAGGAGAGAGAGAGAGAGAGAGAGAGAGAGAGAGAGAGAGAGAGAAAGATCTGTCGACCATTCTTAATTTTCTCAGAACAATGCAGAAACCTCTTCATGAAAAGTCCACACCAGAGCATCACCAACCTTCGGGAAGGTGCAAGAATCCACCAGTATATTTATATTTTGCAGCTATAATCTCATTCTTCTCAATAACCAATAATAATAATAATAGTTAACAAAAAATGATAAAACAGTCATAAAGTCAAGATCTTTGAAATACTCATATTTTCTACACAAAAAAAATGAATAATGTGCCCGAAAAATAAAAATACCTCTTGCAGCCTCAGCTTTTACTGAAGGGATAATAATAGCAACAAAAATGATAAAACAACCATCAAGTCAAGATCTTTTTAAATACCCAAGTTTCCAAATATGGCATTCTCGGCCATAACAATAAATATATATATGCCCGAAAAATAAAAATGCCTCTCGCAGCCTCAGCTTTTACTGAAGGGAGGCTCTGTATGCCTCCCATCCCTGGAGGCGGTACTCTTTGGCAGCCTCAGCAGGATCCGATGCCTTGATTATTCCACGCCCGACAATAATTATGTCACTGCCCCTCTCACTGATAACCTGAAGGAGAGCAAGAGCAATAGTTTCAGTAATCGGGCCCGCTAATATCTCAACTTTAATTGAAATCTAGTTCGCCCAATCATATGATCTAAAAAATGCTCATATCTCCATTTTAACTAAAATATAGTTCACCCAAATCATATGATCTAGAAAGGAACTTACCGAGTGAGGAGTATTATATTGCTGGCCAAGGGAGTCCCCCCCGACGACCATCTGCACTCCAGGGGTTGCATGAATGAACCCTGGGTTGACAGAGCCCGGCCAAGACCCCGGATTCACGGATATAAATCCAATGACGAAATCTGAGTGTTCTTCGGCAATCCTCACGGCTGCTGAGGTGTACTCACCTGTTGCCAGATTACCCTTTGAGCTCATCTCAGCCAGCAATAGCAAGCCCCTGCCAGATGGCAATCCCTGCAGGAGCGCCAAAGATACCCATCAAAGGAAATTAATACTGATTCGGAGGCTCTGACAAATCACCATTGACCCAAATGTCAGTTCTTGGGGACCCACTGACCTTCTGACTCAGACCCTCCACAATCCCAGGTCCGGGGATTATGTGGGCATTGACTATGTCTGCCCAGTCAAGAATGCGATAGACACCTCTGCAAAAACAGGAGGAATTATAGTTTCATGAAATATATGCTTCAATAGAATATATATATATATATTTGCTATTAATGGGAGCGACATCTCACCCTTCATACTGCATCGTCACTGTGTTTCCAATGTCAGCAAACTTGCGATCCTCGAAGATTAGGAAATTGTGCCGGTCTGCAATCTGCATTTTGAAGAGTTCTGTTGAATAAATTTGGATAAAAGATGGAATAAAATCTAAACAAATTATCTGTGATGTCGAAGCAGGCTTTTGCTTTATTTTCCTACTAAATTTGATCACTCTGACTTTCAGAATTGGCATAAAAGGAAGAATATCCATCCATTGACCTTAGATAGTAATCTAGAGCTGATCAAGATGGCATTTCGAGCATTGATGCTTCATGGGTGGAGGCATATCTCTCTGATTCTTCTATAATAGAGTTTATTCATGCAAAAACTCACCGTGCGAAGCTGAGAACCAAAATCTGGAGTGAAATCAGGCAATATATCAACGTGGGTCTTCAATAAGCAAATCTCGGAGCCAACCTGCATGTAAGATGGAGGGACCAGCTCAGAAGGTCATCCAACTATTGGAGGAAATAAATATATGATGATTAAGCTTGAAGAGGAAGACTAGGGCAAGTGGAGCAGGTTTATTAGATATGACTTCAACCAGTTTATCAGTTCATGACGAGTGGAGCAGGTTTTCCTATTCAGAGTCTAAAATGAGTATTTCATCTCTGGATTTCTATGGAAAATTTACAGCAAAAGTTCCATGCACAATGCAGACGAACACGGGAAAATAAAAACGGAAATAGAGAGGAGGATCGACTAAGAGGACAATCAGACCTTGTCGGCGATGGCGAGGAGCTCCTTCGCTGTGCTCACGTCGGCCGCCAGACAAAGGTTGCTCTGCTTCGCCTCCATCACCTCCAACAACCTCCTCCCCGCCGGATTCTTCACCACTGCTGCTCTCTCCCCATAAGAAACCCTAACCCTAGTCTTTGCCTTGTCGCCGGCAGGCGCCGGCGAGGGCACCTTGACCATTCTGTTCTCATCGAGGAATGATATGACTTCCCTCTGCTTCTCCTCCGAAATCTTCCCGTGCCTCACCAGAGCTTCCACGATTCCAGATAGCCTCAGCATGGAGTGAAGCCGTATCCCCTGGTTAGCCAGGTTTTCCCTGCCTCCTTGCTCCCGATCGATCAGCACCACCGCGTCCGCCACTTCCAGACCCTCGGCCCGCAGCGGCGCCGCGGTCTCCAGCACCGAGGCGCCGGAGGTGACGAGATCCTCCACCACGAGACAGGCCTGGCCTTTCGCAAACACCCCCTCGATCGACTTCCCTGTGCCGTAGGTCTTGACCTCCTTGCGGCGCATGAGCATGGGGATGCCATGCTCGACGGAGACGACGGTGGCGATGGGTAGAGCGGTGTAGGGGACGCCGCAGACGAGGTCGAACCTCGGCGGTGGCGAGGCAGCGGCCAGGCAGGAGAAGAGGAGATCGGCAACGCGGCGGAGAAGCGCCGGGAAGGAGACGATGACGCGAAGATCGATGTAGATGGGAGAGATGATCCCGGACTTGAGCTTGAAGGACCCGAATTTCACGGCCTCTATCTCGTAGAGCTCAAGAATCAGGGATTCCATGGAGTCCATCTCCCGCGAGGCGGCGCCGCCGGCGGCAATTCCTTTTCTCTCTCTAAGGGTTTGCTACCTCGAGCAGAAGAAGCCGGAGAGGGACGCGCTGGAGATGACAGAGAAAGAACCGCCGCCATTGCCGTGGCGCAGAGGGAGAACAAAAAGGCAGGCGATGTGACCGTTGGATTTAGGGATAATGGGGGGAAGAATGGTCGCCGACCGTTATACGTTGCGAATCCTGTGATGTCTGAACCTTCCCTAATTAGAATGATGAGAAAATTATAAAATAATTTAAGACTTTCAAGGGAGAATAATCTGAATATTCCCGCATCACCCATTCAAGAACATTATACTTATCTTATACTGCACACTGAAGAAATAAATTAAAATAAATAAATAAATACAGTATAAATCAGAAAATATGACACCTAATCATGTTATTTATTTTATTTTATTCATATATAAGAACACAGTGAACTAATAGAGAATCAATGAAACATTAGCTCTGAAAAAACCTCTAAAAATAAAGAAATAAAATCAGTATAAATCAGAAAATGTGTGACACCTGATCATCTTATTTTATTTTATTCATATCTCAGAACAATCAGTGAACTAATAGAGAATAAAATAAATATTAGCTCTGAAAAAACCTCTAAAAATCGCATTAAATATACCCGGATGAAATCTTAGCTACCCATCTCACGTTTCTTATGATTCATCAAGAAACAGGTCAAATTCCAAGTAGCCTTTGAACGAAAATAAAAAGAATTAAATAAATAAATAAAATAAGATAAATACTATTCATCATCATCTATTTATTGTATTCATATTTAAGAACAAAGTGAATGAACTAAGAAAGAATCAAATAATATTCATCACTAGAAGTAAAATAGCTCTCATAAAACTTTGAAAGAAAAACTCTAAAATTCCCACTATATACAACCGGATGGAAGCTTAGCTCCCCCTCTCATGTTTCTTATGATTCATCAAGAAACAGGTCAACCTCCAAGTAGCCTCTGAACAAAAACAGGGGGAAAAAGAACAGCCCCCCCCCTCCACCTCCCCCCCAACATTCTCCTCTGATACACACCTCCAGGAGCTCAGCTGTCATTCTCATTGATTCACCAGTTCAATTACAACAGAAGAAGAGTCCCCCTCCCCACCAGCCATGTCATTCTCATCAAGCAAAGAGGGTTTGCCTTCAAGACTTCCAAAAGAGAAGCTCAGTACTCACTCTGAGTCCGCTTCACCACACAGTGCAGGAGGGAGAAGCTCTGTGGGTGTGTATGAGAAAGAGAGAGAGAGATTGGGAAGGGGATTACTGTTCCTTCCAGATTCTCCCAGTGACCCTGAGCTTGAGCTCCTTGCGATCTCCGCCGGAGAAGAAGAGGGCCATGTTGCGGGGGATGATGAGGCCGTCATGGCTGTCCCTCACCTTGCGGTGGCTGTCCCGTATGCTGCGGGGCACCCCCTGCCAGACCATCTTCCTCCCATTTGCCCCAACTTCCAGGCTGTACCGGTAGTTCTTCGCCTCACTGTCGTCCCCCATGAACCGGAGGAACGCTATGTACACAGGCGCCATCCCCAGCTGGAATGCCTCAAAATGCAGACAAAAATACTGCCCGAAGCAGCTGAAGACCTGGACGAGGAAAGTCAACGCCCTTAATCGCCATCAAAAATAGCATTATAGCCAGCATCCACACTAATAAATAAGATACTTGACATTTTAAATTTAAGATCAAAAAGAGATTTGAATATTACAGCCCAGCATCCAGATTAGGCAGGCATCCAGATCAAGCGTTCAGTTATAAAGGCCAATGCCATCTGGCACTCCCTTTGTAAGTAATTAATAGGCAGACTATTTTTTTTTTATTCTTCAGGAAGAAGAAGGGACATGAGTGTTAGAATCAGTATTCATGTAATGCGACAACTATGAAAGTAATGAATTAATCAAGCAGTTAATGAAGGGACTTAACCAAAATGTTCTCTTCAAGATTGAAAGGAACTATGAATGTTGCCATTAGCATCCACACTGAGAACTATGAAAGTCAGCCATTTATCAATTAAGCAATCAATAAAAGATAAAAATTGCAAAAAAAAATCAGGATGCAAAAGAGCTACGGATATTACTGTCAAGATCCACATAATGTGAGAAAAGTACTTAATATATCAAAAAAATAATTAGCAAATAAAATAATCATCATTTTGTCTTCGAGCTGCAACAGTGCATTGAATATTGCTGTCACCATCCAGATACAGATAGTGTGAGAACTATGAATGTAATACGCTAATCAAGAAATTAATAAATAGATAAATCGCTTCTTCTTTTTTGTTCAACATTGAGGGAACTATGAAGGGTACCCATCAACATATACAAGACATGATGAGCATGAAAGTCATATGTCAAACAAGGGATTAATAACTAAAAGATAATTTCAATCTTTTATTCAGAATGGAATGGAGCTATGAAGGTTACCGTCAGCATCCACGTGGCATTCTCAACCTCATGGGGGTTCGACTTGACATAGCGGTGATTGAAGGTGCTTCCACTGTGCATGTCCACCTTGTGGTCGTCCTTGAGATGGGCCACCAAGGAAGGCACGTCCCCCACGACCGTGCACTCCGATCCAGCATACGGGCAGTTGAACGGTCTGAACGGGCACAGAGATTCGTGCTTCAACTTGCAGTAGTATGGAAAGATCCCCACACAGCCAAAATTCTGGTATTTGCACGGTAGTTCCAGAGAAGCAGCGACTTTCTCCAGAGCAAGGCATCTAATGTTGCCAAGCTCGTGCCTGCAAGTTGGGCATCTGTTGTGTACACGTGGTTTGCACCCAGAACAAAGGGTGTGGCCATTTGAGCACTGAAAAGAGAAGAGGGGCAAAACAAAAGCTTAATGATTTTTTTTTAAAACGTGGGTGCTCATAAATAGAAACATCTTGGCCTTTAAGTTTGTATATGAATCAACGATCTTCAGACGGAAGCTATTATTGATGAGATTATTATTATATGGGGGCCAGAGAAGATTCAAACAGAGTTTCAGACCGGGCAGGGTATGGAAGAACTTCTGGATGAGAAATCAATGAGGAGAAATATCTTCCACACAGAGAGGGGAACAAGTAAGTTATAAGAAGCAAGGAAAAAATAAGTTAAGAAAACTATAAAAAAAGAGTAGAAGTCATTAATGCAAAGTTCATGAAGTTAAATTTTCGTGAAGTTGAAATTCATGCTAATTAGAAGAAGGGTAAACTTCGGTGGCCTTGATCAAGTTAAATGGTATCTATCCTAATTAGAACATTTATCACGAGGCACCACAAAACATATCAATCACATTGCACAGAAAATGTCAATTTCAAAGCTTCATTCTGTTGAAATTTAGGATGTTCGATAAAAAAATTATACAGTTTACCCAGCTGACTATCAGTCATACATTCTAAACCTTCAGACAGAAAAATCACAAACTCTAACTTTGAATCTCTGTTAATTGAACACACATTAACATGTGAAAAATATCACAAAGAAAAAAAAAAACCACGAAAAGTAAACCAGGTTTCTCTAGAGGTAGAGCTATCTCATATACTAATCACGAAATAAATAAGATTATATTATTTTAAGCAACGTAATGTCCTGAATATCTTCTCGATTCCACAAGTTTGTCACCCCATAAAAATTATCACTAGATAAAATTAAGAAAGGTAATTCCATTTCACCTAGGCATAAGCTAGTCAACTAATGACTCAGTCACCTTGGAGGCCAACGTCCTCACACATTCTACCAAACTTTGGATGACAACTAAGAAATAAATTCACTAAAACAAGACCAAATAATCTCAAAGTTTCAATTGTGTTTCATTAGGAAATATGTGAGAAGAGTAGATGAGGAGGATCTATCCACGTGGAGATTCCAGTGTTCTGTTACACTATGTGCATCAAGTAACATACTGTAGTAAACAATACCAAGATGTGATCTTAACTCGAAAACACAATATCCCAATTCATCCATCAAAGGTGTTCTAACCTTGATGGGGAAAAATATAAAATCCTACTTATAATTATGCCTACCGCTTAAAATATGCCAGCATGATATTGTCTGCTCACATTCGATCTATACAAGCTTATTTGTGGGATTTAAAAGCCAAGAAATCAAGGGGATGTCCAGTAGCTTCTCTTGACGAGTAGAAAAAATGCATTAAAAAGATGATACATATATTAAGGAAAATTAAAATAAATGATTACTCAAACCTGGTGAATTGGAGGGTACATAGCATTCAAGCATACGGGGCATTCCAACAGCTCACGAACACTGCTAGAAACGGTGATATTGGACTTTGGTGAAAACTGAATTGGGTCATTAACGTGTTCACTGACATCCACCAGGTCTTCATTCTTTGGTGGATCAATAACCTCGGGACTTGTACGCATGTCATCAAAAAACACATTACCAGATGCCATAATCTCAGAGAGTACAGATGTGCCTGTCCATGACAGAAAGATTTAAGTCATTGTTTTCTCTAGAGAAAAATTTCTCATAAAAAACAAAAGAATTCAGGCAGCAGGTGGAATTTATAATCCTATAACGGCGTAATACATTACCCAGAAAACCATTGGGCACGATTCCTTCCATTCGTCCTGGGGCTAAACTGATAACTAACTTAGGAATCGTTTATTGAAAACTACTTCGAAGTGAAGATCAGAAAAATTAGAAAATACGGCATTCAAGAAGAAAATATTGAGTTATCAGTTGCAGACAGAATTCAAATGTAAATTGTTCCACGCGCTGTAAGAGGCAATTTTCATTTCGGACTCCCTACATTGAATCGTCCTCTCAGAAGCTTTACATAGATTAATATAGAATCAAGGGAAAACCTCTCACTCACCACTGGTTTTTTTTTCCAAATACAAAGAGACTCTTCTTAAGTCATCGAGTATTTTTTACAAAAATTGCTCAATTTTCCTCATTAGTATAACAAAGTGGGGATCTTTCTTTTCAAATAGTGATTAGAAGAAAAAGAAGTCATCGATCACCAGTGCGGTCAGACTGGCCGGCGAAAAAGGGCACGATATGAGAGAAAAACTCACTCAAACCCCCGGTAAATTCCTCGCAAGGGGCATCTCTGCCCTTCATAAGAAAAGCGAGAATCGCAGCAGACAATGTATCCGAGATCGAACTGAAGAACTACAAGATAATAACAAACCCATATAAAAAGGGAAAACCCATGTGGCCCTATTCACAAGGATTACCTTCATCAAGAACGGCGAGAAAAATAAACAGCTCAAAAACGGAGGACCCGCAATGCACAACAGCAGTAAAATTTGAGGCTTTAGAAAAGGGCAGGTGCACATTGTACCTAGGAGAAGAAGAAGATGAAGGAACGAACCCCGCACGTCCTTCCCCCCCCAGAGATCAGAGCTTATCCCCCTCTCCTCCCTCCTCTTGATGTGCCCTCCTCAAAGAACCATACCTCCACCGGAAGCCACCAGGATGAATGAGAAAACGGGGCAAGATACAGCAAGATACAGAGAGAGAGAGAAGGAGAGTGGGGGGAATGGGAGCGGAGAGTGGTGAGCGCCGACAGAATGGGTGGGGGGGGGGAAGAGGATGAAGGCGAGTTCGAATTAAAAGCCCGTTGGCAAACTACTCCCCGTCGGGAAGTGACAAACCCCGAGGGGAGAGAGAGAGAGAGAGAGACTTGACGTGGTCTGATGGCCCTCGGGAACCACCCGAGGAATCGTACCTCCTCGGGCCCCAACATTGTTCTAATTCCTTTCGGCATCTTCCTCCTCCTTTCTCAGGAGCTCATCAACCACCGATCTGCCGCCACGTAGTCGTTACTGGATATCGTAACACTTATTGCAGTGACATTTGAATCTAATGATATTGTCACCCCCATCTCCGCCTTCCGGTCACAGCCGGTGGGTCTCTCTCGCAGCCCCACTGCGAGGTGAGAGTGGAGAATAGCTGGCGAGGGGTCGAGGTCGTTGGTCCGACGGCGGAATGTCTTATCATGTACCCCTCTACGAATCAGGGTGAGAGACTCCTTTAATAAGGGATCCGTTTAAGAAATCGGAGCCGCCGGCGGAGTACGATAAGGGAGGGCATGTAGGAATCTTTCCCGACAGAGGGATTTTGAATTTTGAACCTCGCGGGGGTAGAATCGTCATTTCAAATTGTTCACAAAGTGGGCCATATTTTTCAATGGTTCATGATCATAATTTCTAAATATTTTGGAAATTGTGCGAAAAAACCCCCAATTTTGGAATAATATCACCCAGTATTAGTTATTTACATATTTATAATTATATTCCAAGCATAGATAAAAATAATTAATAATGTTTTTCTGTGAATTACCAGCCAACTTAAATATTCGAGACCAAATTATAAATAAAAAATTTGAAGGTATAAAGTAAAATATTTAATGTGGGATTATCTCGAGTATTTTCTTTTCTTTTAAAAAAGAGAATTCCCCAACGATCAGACTCAATTTCCTGAGATTTTTCAATGTCTAAATGACAAACCTACCAACATTTATTTCATTCAATAAAGTCCTCACATCCGATTGAAGATTTTCGAATAAAAATAAAATAAAAAGCAAGCGTGGAGAATGGGGTTCCTCAGGTGACTGATAGGCTCGATCGTCGTAAGGAAAAATATGGGCCCACCAAACAGGCCCAAAAGCCCGTGACTCATCTGACCAAAAATAAAGCTCAAAAGCCCGTTACTTAACTGACCCAAAATGGGGTCCAAAAGCCCGTTTCTGAACTGCCGTAAAAATAGGCTTCAAAGCTCGTTACTCATCCGACCAAAAATGGGCCGAAAAGCCCGTTTCTTAACTGACCAAAAATGGCCTCTTAATTTTTAAGAACTTTGGCCCGTTTCAAAGAAATCATTAAAAGCTGAAAAGACTACATCTATCAACCAGCTCCTGCAGCAAAAAAGCTTCCGATGATTAGAGAGGGCATCCTCCTTATCGGAATCGTCAGTTGCTGTCACCCAAATCATAATCAAGAACCTTTCCACAAGAAACCAAAGTTCTTCGCTAGATTTTTAGGACAAAAAAAAAACCCATAAAAATTGGGGAAATACAGCTGACTGAGCTAAGCCGCCAAGGTTTGCTCCTCTCCTCCATCAGGCGTCTTCTCTAGCTTCTTCTTTCTTGATTCGGGTATGTACCTCCACCCCCGCTTATGAACGCCGCTGATCTTCTTGGGGGTGTCGGCGGCGGGCAAACCTGCAGAAATGGCTGGCGAATCAGAGAGACCCTTTCAAGTATCTGGCCAGATGAGGGGGTCTAGATTGCCCAAATGGGTGTATGAACAAATCTCATAGATATGAAGATCCAAGTCTGAAAAAAGAATGGATGGCCAACATGTCTGGGATGATAATTTGAATGTATATGAAGAAAGATGCAGGAGACAGGGCCTCAAAGGAGGGAGACAGAAGATGGAATTACGTAGATTTATATGGTAATCAGTATGTGACTAGCATTCTAGTTTAGGATCTGTTTTCCTGACCCTACTTTGCTGGGTTTTTTTTAAAAAAAATCTCTTCTAAGACTCTGAGGTTGAATTGATTCGAATAAATTCAGGACAGTGAAGCCAAATATGATAGGAGAACAGACAAAGATCAGTTTATCTGCCACAATCAGCCAACAAATGCCCCATAAACTGAGAGTTCTTCATATGTCATTTAAGATATGTAAGCAATATGATATACAGCATATGCATCATCGACAAGAATGTTGCTGCTAGGTTGAGTAGCCATGGGAAGCAAAGGTTTGCCTTAAAAAAACAAAATTCCATACAAAAATGCTCAAAAAGAACATTAGTCTGAGATCAAAATAACTTAGGAAAAATGCAGCCATTTAATAATTAAATGTGTATAAAAGTCAATGGCTAATGAGCCCCTATTCAGTACCATAGACAAACGCATCATTGCCCTGTATAAACTTTTCTCCCATAACCAAGATTTAAAATACACAAAATAAATGGTTATGGGAAACTATTCATTAAATAGGTAGAATTATAGTGTTTCATATTATTGTGAAAAAAATGAAGAATAACAGAGTTTCCTAGTGCGACGATTTGCACTGAAGCCTGACATCCTCAATTTATAGAACTTAGAGAAAGGAAGAACAAAGAGGCCTGTTCATCAAGGGAAAAGCTGTGAAAAAATGAGACGGACCGCAATCCTACGATTCTTCGAAACTTGCAGTGTGGACGACAAAAAAGAATAGTGGCACTTTTCAAGAATAGAACAAGAAGATATAAAAAATGCAATCGAAATAACAGTGGATAACCATTTCCATGGTCAAAATCACTGGCCATAATCATTAAATTATAATGATTACTGTCAAATCATCTCACTAATAATACTCTTATCCTATGCAAGATTTACATGGTAATCCTGCCCAAAATTTCCAGTTGGTCCTATCCGATCCGATTTATCACTCTCTAATTAACTAGCTTGGAAGTTCAGTTGTTCTAACCCAAGGAAATTGCACTCGGAGGGGGTTCCATCTGATAGATTTTGGATGCCTATCCAGTCATATAATGCCAGGAGAGGCCGCCAAGAGACAGTGGACAAATGACGATCTTAAGGCTAAAAACTTTTTATTTAAACGTTAGAACCAAAATTATAATGATAAAACTAGGAATTTAATATATGTTTAACATGATCAGATCGTTAAATATATGAAATCTTAACTTTAAAAGGAAAACTTATAAATCATAACACAATTTCATGTTCACTCAATGAGTCTGAACAAGTGTAGAATAGCAGATGAAGACGTCCAACCAGTTTACAGACTTGAACGAGAAATGTTCTTCTGATACGTGTGTACGGTGAAAGGTAGATGAAAATGAATCTCAATCCCTAGCTCCATGGCGGTGAAACAAGGAAGGAAGCCGTAAAGATGAGGCCTCACCGTCCTTGTAGAAAATCCCCCACGCCTTCCCGTGCCTCCCATCCTGTCAGGGATGATCATAATAAGGAAGCAGTAGCGAAAGAAAAGAAAAGGTGTTAGAGAATCGGAAAGATCACAGCGTACAAACTGAGAGAGATAGAGAGATGAGAAGGTTGGGTTAGACCTTGTAGAGGTTAATCTTGGTGATCTTGTAGGAGATGCCCTCCCAGTGGTTCTTCGCCATGTTGTATCCGATCCCCCAATCTGGCAGGAACTGAGCCACCTCGAAGAGGTTCTTCTTCTTCTTCCGCTTAGGCTTCTTGGCGGCCGCCGCTTCCGACGCCGCAGCTGCCCCTGGAGCCGGAGAAGCCATGGACGAAGAGCTCAGGACTCTGAAGAAGCTGAACGCTCCCTGCCTGAGGAAGCCGACCGCCCTGCTCGCCGTCACCGCCATTCGCCGGCCACAACCGCTGCACTGTTCAACTCGCCTACCCTTCCCTCCTCCCTCGCCGCCGCCGCCGCCAAGTTGGGACCTTGCTGCCGGCTACAACCACCCAGCGGGCTCGGACACGGGCTGGTTCACTCAAAACTTTGTAAACAGACGGATTCGTAGCGAGACGGACCCAGATTGAACGTCCTAACGAAGTATGAAATCTACTCAAACGTCCATGTACAAATATCATACTTCAATATTTTCCTCCAAGTTGCAATTTCATGCATTTATCATATGAATTTTTAATAAGTCGTGATTTTAGGCTAAACGAAATTATGGGACCTGTTGACTTTAGCTATTTTATAAACTTAGGGTAGGGGTTTCAAGTTATATCCAATAAAATAATATTTATTTCTTGACTAGTTTATCATCATATTTTACATGGGTTCAAGCCAATGAAATACATACATTAAGATTATTTTTTTCAGGCTTTTTATTGAAAAATGGTTAAAAAATTAGACGATTACAAAATTATTTGTCAGTATTAATTGAGGGAAAAAGTTGATGAACTTGAACCAAAACCGAAGTTCCACCTAAAATGGAAAACTATTGATATATGATAACACAAGTCAACCACACATAACACATTTAAATCAACACTTGAAGTAAAAAAAAAAATCACTTTTTAAAACCCTAAACCTGAGGAAGTCAACGCTTGAAGGGAAATGTGTGGAGAGAAGTAAAAGTCAAGGATGTTTCCTAAAACAAGAGGTCCCAAGCCCACAAGTGAGGAAAAATAAAAGTAAAAAATGAGAGAGTTCACCCTTATGACTTGAATATTAATTCCTAAACATAATATTGAATTCATGGTCTTGCAAAATAACAAAATCTTCAAGATTAGCAAAGAAAAAAGAATCAATAAGAGAGAATCTTAATAACATGAGATTTGAGGGCACTTAGGTTTATAAGAAAATAATGGTCTTCATAACCTTCAGGTTTTTTTAGCTCATTAAGCTCTCAAGAACTGTTCGTCTGACCATATCGACACCTCTATGATGGTTTTTCTTTGATTACTTTTATTTACAACTTATCAAGACACAATCAATGATAGAACGTAATTTCTTTGACCATAGAAAAATTAGAAAAAGATGATGAACTTAAGAGCCAAAGAACTGAAAGATAATTTACTATCTTTGTTAAAAATATTATTTAAAGCCAAACTTAATCCAAGGGTCTAGTCAACAGCTCAAGAACGTGAATCTATAATAAATCCAAAATAAAAAACTTTAAGATGAAAATACAATGAAGGAAGGCTTTTGAGTCTTTTTAAGTGAACTTAGAGCCATACATCATTTTATGAGACTCATACTCAAACAAGAAATCTCCCAAACACTAGGGTTCAAGACTCTTATTAAGTAAGGCCAGGGATTCATGATTACATACATTAATAACATACATGACATTTTTTTTTAATACTCTAACAAATGACCATGAACAAATGGGTTGTAATTTTTTTTAGACAATTTTCATGCTTTTATGGCAGAAAAACCTCTTGAAGCCCAGAAGTCAAAAAGGATTGAGAAAGGTAGAAATCAACTCTATTTTCAGCTTTTTATTATAAAAGTTAGGTTTGGAAAAAGTCAAGATTGGTGGTTGGCCTACTAAGATTTTTATAAAAAGTCTCTAATGGTCATATAATTCCAAATGATAGATCCTTGATAGGCTCAAGCATGACCCACCCAAAGGGCTAAACATGGATCCTTACTGGTCATATGGCCAAAGTGTGACCTAATCTTCTAAAGCTTGCAAACATCTCAGATGCCCCCTGCATAAGCACATAGCTACATCTCTATATATCTAAATATCAAAATATGAAAAATACATAATTGGTAGAGGAAAATGGCTCTAAATTCAATCAAACCTGCAAATAAGATTTCACACCCAACCTCAATATTAGAAAACTAAATTTACAACCCCCCTATGATGAGAAACTGTTTTTGAAAGTTAAAATGGTGTTTTTTTTCCATGGGGAAAACACCCAAGAAAATAGTTGATGAGAGAAAGGGAGACGTGATAAAACCCTTAAACTGTTCTTCACAGACCTCCTCCCCTGGCAAGCCGATGCACAAGTCTACTTTTTTCTAGAAATAGAAAAGAAGAGAAGGATTGCATCGCCTTGATCTAGATAAGCATTGCATCAAGGCAAGGGATGGGGAGAATCTTTAGAGTTTTTTTTTTTCACTTTTTAGGAATTATTAGCGTAGAGTTGCATCTCTTGGAACTCTTCATGTCACCATTCTTTCTCTAGATGGCATCACTCAAGCTTCACCTCTCTCTGTGGTGGATCCAAGTCCAAGTAGTAGAAGGGCTCAGTTGGTTCTTCCCTGCACACAACTGAACACTGTTAACAAAGACATAGTCGAACATCTGGAGGTTTTATATAAATTTCAAGGAATTAAAATTTCATAGGAATGTAAGTAAATATAGAAAATATGGGCTAATCATGGATCCAAAATAAAGCTATGCATATATTTATATAGATGTATATGTCATTCAGGGAACGAAAAAATAGTAGATAAGTTCATTATGGATATAAACAAAATAATATATACATGTACATGCACATCATTTCATGGAATGAAAATAATAGGGAAGAAAAGATGGAACCAAGGGGCTAATGTAAATTAAAATACATGCACACATATTTGTATAAATCATCTAAAGAAAGGAAAAATAACGGGATGCAAGCAGAGAGAATGAGAGCTGCATATTGGTTTACTGTGTCATCAGAAACAGCTAATCTAACAGGATTGCAGCCTGATTAGAAAATACCATTTGTAGCTTTTGTTGAAAGAAATGCATATTATAATTAAATGTAAAGACATTCTCTCAAAGCTATTGCAATAATAAAATTATTTAATCTATTTTTTATTCATTGCCGGAAAGAAGCTGTTTCCTTTGACCAGCTGATGCAAACTTTTATGATTCTCACCAAAATAAGGGATCAGTGGCTGAGTTTCTCGGCATTATAACTGTTCGTCACAAATCTGCATCTAAACTTGTTATTTCCATCCTTAACAGTCCACTGATAAAGATCAAGGTGGATAAACCGTGCTTTTAACCTCTCCTGTGCACAGCAACTTGCAAAACAAGGCGCATATTATCCTTCGTAGGCATAAGATTTCTTATAATCTTCATCACTCATCAGTTAGTTATTCTAAACTTTTGGTTCCAAGGCAGCACGGCCAAATCAACATGGGCAATCACGGGCAAAGCATCCAAGTATTCTCTCTCGTCCAGGTTAAGGGTGCAACTTATTGACCATTAAATCCATGATCTACATAAGCTGAATGCAGATAATAGTATTCCATTATCCCGAATTTGTCTAGAGAATTCTAAAGCAAGTTAAGCATCGGAGATCACCTAATGGGACAGATCCAACCAATGCCGGGGATGAAGAAAGAGATGAGAAATTTGGAAAGAAAGCTTTGAGACTGAACTATCGGAGTGACAGAAGATTACCCGGGTTTTGAGCGCATGCATCGCCAAAAGAGTTTGAAAGGGCCAGGAACTGTCTTAAAGGGATTCCCTTCAAAGCAAGCCTGCAAGGTTTTCATTACAAAGAAACCACGTTACACTGCATTCAGAAAGACCAGGATAATGCATTTATTTATTATTCAGAAGCACATCACTTCATGAACACTGTTTCAGATTTCATTCCAGGATATTTCCCTCACCATGAAATTAATAAGGAGAAAAAGAAGAAGGTGATGGTAATATTCATTAGAGAAGAAGGAAGCATGGTAAAATGGGGAAAAAAAATATATCTTTGCATGGTTAGTCCTCTGATACTTTTATGACCATGGAAATAACATACAGCCTCTGACCACATATAGACAAGGAAAGCCAGACCTAGGTCTCGAACTCATTTAAGTAAAAACTTGTTAAAGGGAGTCCGCTCAGAAACTCAGATTCCAGATTCTTCTCACTAGCTGCACAGTGAGTTTCCCTCCACTGATCTCACCCAGAAACAAAGGTTTTATGTTCACATGTTATATGATCTATGACACAAGTATTCACCCAGAGTGAGGCGACTAGTTTGTTGCCTCATGATTCTCCAGAAAATGTGCCATATATGTTAGTTGCAACTTCAAAACCAATGTCGTAACTACTGAAGAGCTGCATTTGATTGCGAGATTTAGAATTTCAGCGAAAGTACTTTAGACAAGCTTCGTCAGATATATTCCTACCTTGCTGATTGAAGAAACTTTTCAAAGAAAAATCTAAATCAAGGCTATCTGTTTTCCAAGAACAATGAAACCGTGGAATCTCATGGCAAGGCTTCTGCTAGTTAGATGACTGCCTCCAAGCTGGAGATGATCAAAACTCATTTGAAGAAAATTTCACGAAATTTATGTCAATAAAGATATATGATAATCATTGATCACTCTTTCCTCATCCTTTAAAAATTCTGAAAACTGAGGAATAAACTATCAGAAGTTACATAGGAGGTAATGAATGTGCGGAATCCCTTTCATATGCCACAATGCATAGATTAACATGAAAGATAACCAGCAGGCTCATTCCCAGATGATCCCATTAATGACGATAATGGTACAAAATCTTGGAACCGAACGCAGTTTTTTGAGTTTTCATACAAATTTACACAGCCATTGCTGAGAAACCAAAAAAAAATATAGAATAAATATATGCCAGTTGTCGTGATTAGTAATCCGATGTAAGCTAGCTGCTCATAAGTCGATGATTTTCAAGAATATGGAGTGAACGATCCTAGACTGCAGGTGCTCAGATAAACACTAGGAGAACAGAGATAGGAAAGAACGAAGAATAAAAAAGGATCGGAATGCCCAGGCGAACGCCAGGAAAATGAAGCCGCGGGATGGTTTCTACCTGGATAACATCCTCCGCTCTGTCGTTGCACCGATGCGCTTGGGGCTGTCGCGTGTCACCCTCAGGCAATCCCCATGGACTCTCTCTCCTCGGAACAGGCCTCGAGCTCATTCTCCCTTGTGAAAAATCACACGATGACGACCTGAATGAATCGACCGGCGAAATCACACTCGAATTGTATTCACCCGAAAATATTCCTCAGAAACTCCAGATGAACGCTGGAATCTGTATCGACCAATAGATCAACTGAAGCGGCGATGGTCCAAATCAAATCCAGCAAATGCTAGCCCTCCCGAACACTCTACTCCCCGATAAGAGCTCAAAATCTATTAATACCAAGCTGAGGAATTCATGAAGCGACAGAACCCTTCCAACCCCCACAGAGAACGAACCAATCCCTCCCACCCCCAGGAAACCAGCAACGGAAGCACTTTGATTCCCCTCCAACAGCTTCATGAGCTAGGACTAACTTTAGACAGGGGAAGAGATTATGAGAGAGAGAGAGAGAGAGAGAGAGAGAGAGAGAGAGAGAGAGAGAGAGAGAGAGAGAGAGAGAGAGAGAGAGAGAGAGAGAGAGGGAGAGAGAGGGCAAATTGTAATGGGCTCTTTGTAATGGAAGATGGGCTTCCTTGTTTCCTGGTGGCCCACAAAATTATTGGGCTAGGCCCATTTACTACCTAGGTAGATTTCGAGGCACAATCATAGAAAAAAGAAACCCAGGGAGGTCGAGGGGCTAGTATTTTGTCTGAAGAAAAAAAAAACACATGAAAATTAAAAAAAAAAATAAGTTAAAATTTGAAAGCTCTAAAGTTTATTGAATTAAAATAGTTAACTCTTCCATGATATGCAATATTTGTGCTCAAATAAAGGTAACTAACATTAATTTTATTAAAAAAATGGATTTCAAAGGTTCACCATATTGAAATATATGGTTTCCAATGGAATTTAAATTGATCGTATATCATCATTCCATATTCATACTGAACATAAATTAAAATTAAACCCTAAGTCAATAACAAATATTATGGCTTTAATTTGAAGTCAATAATAAGTTACTACATAAAGTAACACATAAAAATATTAACCAAAAATTATAATCATGATGTATATGTGATAACACCTCATTCATATTTAACTATCATCGACTGCCTATTATTGTGTAACTTATGAAAATTCAATTACTAACTATGATAAAATTTATTTTTTTCTTTGAACAATGTAATTCACCTCAACTCTAGTATAATAGTGTGTTGAATTTGTGATTATTATAATTGAAAATCATAAGATTTCAAGCTTACAGTGAATTTTAGGGATTTATTTTTTCATTTCACAATCAAAATTAGTCAATAAACTATAGGACACATGGGGACTAATGGACTGATGGGCCGTGGGCTCTAGTCCCCTTCACCCCCATAATCCTATACTATAAATAGTTAAGGGATAAAAATGGGCACGAGAAAGTTTTTATTTTGTCTAGAATAGGGTTGAGCTCCAGCACAATTGGGACCACTCCAAGTGGAGTGGGAATGTGTGCCGACTATTGCTAGAAATCTTTCTTATCCTCTTCTTTGGTTCTCCTTCCCCCCCCCCCCCTTCTATGATGAAAGAGACTTGGATAATCACTAAGTATATGTTATAACACTTGATTTTTGTTTAACTATGATTGATTGCTTATCATTGTGTAAATTATTAAAATTCAACTAATAACTTATGTAAACTTTAATTTTTCTTAGAAAAATGTAATTCACCTAGACCATGTATAATAATGACTGAATTTTTAACTATGGTAGATTGTGCTTGTTATAGTTGAAAACCTAAGATTTCAAGGTTAAAGTCTATTTCTCATTACATAGTCAAAATTACTCGATAAACCTTGTTATGATACAAAGTAATATTTATAATGGATACATTTTATGAATCATATGGTTCTTTAAATACCAATGAAGAGAAAATCTTATGTCTTTTACCATTAATGATATTTTAGTTTATTTATAAATTATACTATCATTTGGTATTTATCCCTGTTAAGTCGTAATATATTATAATTTCACACTCATCCCATTATGGGAAAATACCTCAATATTAAAAATAAAATGATAAATAATTTAATTTCGTATTTTTTTATTTTTTTATGTAATGGGCGTGAGGGAAGGGGTGTTAAGAAGCGGTAGGAAATAGGGGGGAATTATTGGGAGCATTTATATCAATATGCCATTCTTCAGAAGATATTTATGACAAATATATCATAATAAAATACGGTTAATATATATTTTGTAAGTTTTTTTTAAAGGAAAAAATGATAATAGTGAAAATGGCATGCAATACCTATTTTTTCAGAACATAATTGATGAATTGTACATTAGTAATAGATAATTTATCATCTTAAATTTGATATTTAATTAAAAATATTATTTATGGACACCTAATAAATGAGATTACTATCTATAGATTGTTTTTTTAGCATACAAGGCTATTATTTGTTTAAGTACTCATATTTTCTGTTACCTCTATAAATGTATTGTTGCCTTTTAAAAAAATAACAGGATTTCCTAAAATAGGGGTAAAACCTTTTTTCGAATATTCTTCTCGATTAACTCAACCGCATTTTGAGGAATTTACAAAAGTCGTATAATAATAAATTAAAGAAGAGAAACTTATCGCTAAATTTAAGATTCTTAAGGACCTAAACGTAATTATCCGATGAGAAGCGGGCATCAGGCCCACCTAATGAGACATGATGATTGGCATCCCTAACCCATCTCTTGCCGTGTGGCAGCGTTGACAATCACTACAGAACTCAGACGTTGGGAATAGTTTGTGTTAGAGTGCGTTTTCATAATTTTGCGTAGATAAAGGTAAATCTGTAAATATGCTCCGCCGGGGTTTGGTTCTTATCATCGTATCTTTATACAGGGGAGAGAGAGAGAGAGATGGGGCGAACCGGAATGCTAGAGAGAGAAGCGGTACGATCCTTGAAAAAGAAAAGACGGAGAGAGAAGTAAATTCTACCTTGGCATTAAGAATGCAAAGAGAGAGATGGAGGAGACGACCTAGAGAGAGAAATGGTAGGGCTCAGTAAAAGCTGGAGAGGGAGAGACCAAGAGAGGAGAGAGTACGATCCGTACGTACAACATAATAAGCTAGAGAGGAGAGAGAAAGGGTAGACCACTCTAATCATAAGTGGGCGAGACAGAGAGAGAAACTGTACGATCCTCGGCGATAATCAAAGATGGGGAAGGAGGACAATATAGTCACGAAGAGTGCAGAAAGCGAGAGCGAGAGAGAGTAAGGGGGATGAGCTAGAGAGAGAAACCGAAGCAAAGCTGACTTTCTACTGCATGAGAGAGAGAGAGAGAATGTGGGGGAAATCTAGAGAGAGAAACTGTACGATCCTTCACTGCAACGCAAGATGGGGAAGGAGAACGACAACATCATCACCAAGAATGCAGAGAGCGAGGGGCAAAGAGAGGAAGAAGGGGGGCGGGGGGCGAGGAACCTAGAGTGAGAAACCGAAGCAGAGCAAGATTTCTACTGCCCCGTAACCTTCTCCAAAACCCTCGATCAAATAAACCAATTATTTTATCGAATAAGATCTCTCCAAACACAGAAAATACAGAGATTTCTAAAACCGGTCGGAAGAAAATCCCAAGAACAATCAGTGGACAGCTCGAGGACGAGTCTTACCAGGACGACGCTGCCGCGGCGGCCCGTTGGCGAGCGGAGCTCGGCAAGAACACCCTGGCTGCAGCAGTCAAAACGCAGAACACAGAGAAGATATCATTTAACAGAGAGCCTCCAAGCCAGATAATTAGAGATAGAGAGAGAGAGAGGGAGAGAGAGTGAGTGTGTGTGTGTGTGGTTGAGGGGTCTTTCGAGTAGTAAGTAGTAAGCCCGTCGTCACACAAAAGGCAGACTTTTTTACTGAACAACATAAGAAAGACACAAATTTTGGCCGCCGCAGTTGCTGCTCCAAGAGAAAGGACGTGGAAGAGAGAGAGAGAGAAGGGGGGAGAGCTCCTCCGCTTCAGATATCCACAATGGCAGACGCTGAGAAGGAAAACAAACTCATCAACAGCAACCCGTTTTCACGGGTCTATAGAGAAAAGAAAGAGAGAAAGAAAGAGAGAGAGAGAGAGAGAGAGAGAGAAGATGTTATATAAGGCAAAGGAGACCTTTAGGCGCCTCTCTCTAGCGTCTCCGGCTGATCTTCTCTCTCTGGTTTGTCGTTTGAGATTTCTTCACTTGGGGGGTTGGGCTGCATCTTTGAACCTGGAATCCATCCAATCATGGAGGGGCGAGCCCAATTTAGCGAGAGGTCTACTGGTACACAGTAGAAGAAGAAGAAGGTCGCTGCTCACCGGGGAAGCTCGGCGATGGCGACGGCGGCGCCTCGTCCTTGACCGGCAGCCTGGCACCCGGCTCCGGCGAGGGCCAGTGGAAGAGGAGGTGGGCGACGATGCGGTCGATAGGGTTTGTGCCGGTCTCTGTGGGGGGGAGCTTCTTCGTTGTCGACCTCTTGCGACTGCCTGGTACTTCACTGATCGGACCTTCTTCCTCCTCGTCTCTGCTGCTCTTGTTGGTGCTGCTCCTGTCGCCGGCGTTGTGCCTCTCCACCGCGCTCTTCGCCAATCGGAACAAGCTATCCCGTATGCATAATCTCACTCCGACGTCCAGCTGAGGAAGAAGAAGAAGAAGAAGAAGAAGAGTCGATCTTGATCGATCCTGTACGAGAAACAATCAATCTGCGGGAGAGGAGAGGAGAGGAGAGGAAAGCAAAGGAGGTATCACCTTCCCGATGGCGTCTCGAAGCTGGTAGAAAATCGTCTCCCCGAGGGAGTCATCGATGAGGACGGAATTCTGCAGCTCCTCCCCTTCCGTTGGGAGGCTGAGCTCCGAGGAAGAGATCAATTTCGCGGCCTCATCGGCGGCGGCGAGGCTCTGATTCTGCTGAGAGCTGATCTGAGTGGCGGACATCTCCGTCGAGGTGCTCTTCTGCTCGAGCTGCTGCTGCTGCTGCTGGATGGCGAGCATCGCCTGCATCTGCTGCCGCCTCCTCAGCTTCTCGATCTTCTCCTGCGGCGTCATCGCCAGCTTCGAGGAGGCCTGGTAAGCCCTAGGGCTCTCGCCGGCGGGCTGGCTCTGCTTCCTTGCCGGGGGCGCCGCCGATAGTACCGGCACTGTGGGGAAGGCGTGGATGGGGTACTCGAAGGATGGACGGAAGAACTTGCCGGCGGCGGGGAAGATCCCGGTGTAGCCCGAGCCATCGTCTTCCCCATGGAAGATGGACTGTGACGGAGATTTAAACGACCCCGCCATTTTTACACCTTCGAATTGCTGAGTGCCGCTCAGCTTCTGCGGGGAGCCCATTCTGGTCTTCTCCTCCGTCTTCCTCCGAGACTTTGATGACTTCTTCAGCCTATCCGTCTGCTATCGCCAGAGAGAGAAACACACAGGAAGATCAACCATGATTGCAGTTCTCAGTACCCGTCATGATCCTCACTTCCCAGGTGACGGGAGAAACGCAGGGGAGAAGATGGGTAGAGAGAGAAAGTACCTTGTCGGTAGAGAGAGAGCAGTTATCGATGATGAGCTGCGATGGGCCCATGGCCTGCTCACCGGGGGCGACATTATTCTCTCCCACCTGCTGAAACCATGGTAGTTAATCATCGAGAGGGGAAGACTACAAGAACTATTCTTTCAACCAATGGACAGCATTACATCATCATCCTCCAAGGATTTTGGTGCTCCTCCTGTTGCAGGCTGTTCATCCGCCTGGCTCATTGAGGATTCCCTCTCACTGCTACTGTTCTTCCTCCCTCGCATATCCTGGAGGCACAGGGACGGTCCCTCTGTTACATCTCCCAAGAATATGACATGAACTGGGTTTCTTAATCTGGATGTGAATTGGAAAACTCACAGAGATAGCGAAAGAGGGTGTGACTGAATTATCTCCGTCGGCAGAGGGCGAGAGGATTTCATCTGCATGACTGATCATCTCATGGCCGAAAAGGGAATCATCATTTCTGCAAAATGTCACTTGTGAGGATAATATGTCAGGGAGAAACCATAGGGGGAGAGGCGTCACATTTATACCACAGAAATCTCTGGCGAGGTAAGAGAACAGGGAAACAGACCATCAAAATAAGGCAACATAATGTCGAACCAGCGCATGTGTTACCTGAAGATTCTATCAAAATCATCAAAGTCTGCAATGTTACCCCAGTCGCAGTCAAGAAAGCTGTCACTTTCCTTGTGTTCATGGCCGTTGATGAACATGTCCCGGTCACTGCCAACCGGCAAGCTGCACGGGTCCTTGAGAGAAGCGTCCTTGCTTTCAGCAATGGCAGTGTCGGCGTCATAGAGCTCGGTGACAATATTCTCTGGCGCCGTCACCATGGGGGTTGACCCGGTGCACTCGCTGATGAACTTTGAAGACATGGGGTGCAGATGATTTCTCTCGATGAATCCCTTGCTGAATGCTGTATTCAGAGAGGGCAGGTCGGGCCATGAATCCATGTCAAATCTTGAAGCAGAAAGTTCTTCATGTGTATCGAAGTCAGAGTTCCCTTCAAGGCCGGAGGAGCCTGGGAAGTCATTCTTGGAGTCGGACTTCCCCTGGTCCGAGATGATTAAATTGGCGCTGGTTTGCTCATGCCTCTGCTTCTTGGAGTATTCAGTGAGCGCGGAGGGGGAGTCGCACTCGCTTTCCTTGGGATAAGGCACAATATGGTCTTCAGTCTCATTCAGCACTCCCCATATTGTGTCCCTCACCTGGACCATCCCAAGAGTAGGGTGGAATGATTGATAAATTAGACATAGTTCATACTTTAACTCGGAAAATAATGGGAAACCCACATGAAAAGCATTATAATGGGAAAATAATGAATATATTACTGCGTTTTAGGGTGAGAAATCCGTTCAAGATGAATGTTTATGGCGGATACAACTCAGATATTAGTTGTTGATGTTTGGTCCATTAATGAACACGCATATCAAGGCAAGTAAGAGAAAGAGTTGCATTGACGGACTCATAACAATAAAAGCTAAATAAATATATAACGCAATTGAATTTATGTAACAAGTAGAAATTAAGCAAAACGGGAAATATAGAATGGCTAAGAGAAGTGTATGCCTGCAGAGTAACCCAAGGAATTCCCAAGTGTTGAGGGTGATACTCCTAATATTTATGCTTATTCACCCATACATTCTCACATTCGTCCCTTCTTTCAGTTCATTCCAAATTAATAAAAGATGTAGTGAACGACCCAACAGACTGCCAGCTCTACAACCTATCTTTCTCATTATCCTCATCTTCAAGCCCACCAGACCCAGCTAGCTCACTCAACTTCCATTAGTGATGGTGAGTCATCTCTTTCAAACACCTTGGCTACATCTATTACCACATAATTTCATATGGTTCATTAATTGCCATTTCTTCCCGTCATTTCACATAGCCCTATATGACGCTAAATTTTCATCATCCACTGCGTTCTATAGTTATGTTTTAGCCTCGTCCATTAGCCAATGATCTTCCTGCAAGTATTCCAGAGACGATTTCAAGCTGAAGCATTTGTTCTTCTATCACAACTTCCAACGAAGGAAACAACTGCAACACTAGGCACTTTAACTTATCCAACGAAGCATTAGTAACAATTTCTCTATGGGCAATGCTCCCAGAATGAGTCCCGCGTCTTCAAGTCCCTTGCCTATAGCACGTTCTACCATATACTCCAGACGCACAAATATGTACAGTTCTACCTTTATGTCTCACATTCTTAGCCCCTATTAATGGTTTTATTTGATCACTTCCAGTAACAGTCCCTCGGTCTTTTCGCCCAACTTCCAAGAATCCTTTACTGAGTCATGCCAAACTGAGGTTCATGATAATAATGATGTACTAAAATCTTGATTCGCTCTTTATATTTCTCTCTTGGTGTGAATCATACCATCCTGTGCACCTGCTTCCATTAGGAGTTCTAGATTTTATTGATTTCAAATACTTAGTGAATGCTTGTAGGATCCTGAGGAAAGATAAATGGTAAAAGGATACACTGGATACCATACTGTAAAGATAATAAAGTCTTACACTATGCAAGCAGGTCCGCTTTAAATGTCTGATTCAATTTTTGGAGAATTTTTACTCAAGCGTTTACTGATTTAGAAAATTCATAGTGAATGATATCCTCAAGAAGTATAAACGAAAATTCCCAAACTAAAAGTCTTAGAATAGCAGTTGCAGAGGCCCCTCTATGTTTCGCTGCTCAAAGACATAACCTCAATAAAGAAAGCACACTACAAAAGTGATACTTAAACATTGTTAAGAAGGGAGTCATGACAATGTTGTAAATTTCCGCACTCAAAAAAAATCAAAAATGATGTAAAGAAAATGTGATTGTGGGATTTTTCACTTAATGAATGAAACACGGTAGGCATTTTTGTCCTAACTTCTCAACCGTCAATGTTCACCCTCGCAATCTTGGTTTTCACAAAATTCATGTGAAGTCCACTAGTGTCATCACAAAACTGAAGGATGAGCACATACTGATGCTCACTGTCAAGAAAAAAAATTATCATCTACATATTAGAGATATGTGACAAGTAGGGCTAGGTTAGCAGCCTGACACCATCTAGTCCATCTGAATCTTTCGGCCCTATGCAACATTTTCCGCGTCAATTCAGAAATAAAAGGTTAAGATATAATTGGTGATCTCACTCTTTACGGAAGTACCTCAAGGACTGACCTTTACCCAAAACCATAACTATATTATAACTCATTCAATTAAAATGAATTCTCAAAATGAATAATTGGACTAAAATTGGACATCTTGATACACAATACAAATCTTCTCTGAAAATATGTATTAAATCTATAGGATTTAGTATAAAATTCCAACATTAAGAAAGACGTTGAGGTGTTTGGTCTGTCAGTAAGCTGTCATGAAGCATTATATATGTGATAGCCTTCTGTGACTAGTCCATGCCCTGGGGAGAACGTTGTCCTAAATTTTTCAGTAAAACCACTCAATACTATAAAAGGGAAATTATTTGCATGTAATGTTCTAAAACAATCAGCAAGCTTATTTGCGATCGAAACTTTCTCAGAAACCAAGATATTGATAAGATTTTGCATCCACATGTGACATGAATGGTAGTTCTCTTGACTAGACACCAAACCCAATCCCAATTTCAAATAAATTCTCGACAAGACAGATGAATAGGCATACTAAATATGACAAACTGTATATCGTGAAAAAAAATGTTGTGTTATTTGTATAGCAGGATGTAATTTACAAGATTCGCATAAATATCAACAAAAAACTCATTCTTGGTGCTTGATTAACGATTTATCAAACCAATGATGGAAAAAAAGAACGAAGTGTTTCTCTGCTGTCTGGTGCCGTGCACAATTATGTATATTGATAGGCCACCCTTTCTTGGACTAGTGTTTTGTACAGCTATGTAAAGGTTAAGATTACCTCTGCACATTCATATTTCCATTAAACTAGAAAATTCAATCCTCGCTATTTGAGAATAAAAACAAACCTAATTATATTTAGCTTATTTTTCCCCTTTGAAATTATGCGACACATTTTAATATTCTTTACTTGATAAAAAAGGCTGTTTCTCTCGACGTCTAGACCGATAAAACCCGTGAAGAGTCTAGTATATATGTATCTCCAATGAATAACCACATAAGGCCCATCTCAGCTCCAACAATCGCAAACAGACGACTCAAAAACCAGAGGGCTTTGGCTTTAATAAAGGAACTGGATATGTACCTTTCAAAATCCCCCCTAATATGTTAGACGACCACCAGGAAACTACCCTTTGGCTCATATATTACACAGATTCCTGTCTTTTGATTGTTCAAAAGCGCATAACCTCCATTGGTATTCTCTTCAGATGTGTTCAGTTAAATACCGTACATGATGTTGTCAGCTGTAACCCCCTTGTCTTCTTATTTTTCTAAAGATAGTCGGAGTACGCTGTTATTTCAAGTGAAAAAACGCATAGAACAGTTCAGAGGGTGAACAGAAAAGACTCCAGCAGAAAATCTAGCTATTGAAGCCTTGTTCCCTTCCTGCGGGGCAGATAACAACGATAAACTAACAAACCATGCGGAATAATACGCAAGCAGAGAGAATATACAAGTCTCCTCGTCTTCCCTCTGCTTTCCCGATCAACAATATACTGAGAACAGGAAATCAAACTCCGGGAGGAAAATCACTGAAACAAAATCAACTTGCCTCTTCGTCTTCATTCCAATCAAACATCTTCAAAACGGGGAAAGATCCCCAACCCTGCTGCGCCCGTTCCCACCAGCCCTCTGGGATCCGTCTTTAACATCTCAGAAACGTGGCCGTAGGGGATCCAGGAGCCGGCAGAACCAACCCGCGAGAAGCCGTGGACGTTGGCGACGCCGTCGGCGCACCCCTACCTTCACGTCCTCGCCGATCCACAGCGGAGAAATCTCCCAGGAGCGAGAAAAGAGTCCCCAGATTGCCGCTGCGAAGAGTTTATGGAGGTCTCCCAGAGCGAGGAATTGGGGGAAGAACAAGGAACAGACAACTTGTGGGAGAGGGCAGGAGAGAGAGAGAGAGCGAGAGCGAGAGGAGGGTAGGTCTGCCACATGGCGGAAGGTGGTTCGCTGAGAGATAGAGAGCAGTTTGGTGACGACACGTGGACAAAATAGTGGCGGAGACCAGCCGATCGAATACTCGCACCTGGTTGGCGGCGGTTCAATTTGGGAGTCTCATTTGGTCAGCATTTCGTGATATTTGCATTTGGAAAGATTCTGGAATGTTCCTGGTCGTAAGACGGCGCACGTGCCCCCGTTCAATATCACGAGACGGAGCCGCCTCGGCAGATTGGACGGCTAGATGTGGTTCCTTATCCCCCGGGGAATCGATCCCAGCCCTCCATCCTTCTTGTGGGGAATTACGTCTTCTGCGCTGAAATCGGCCACGCAGTGGGGAGTTGACCCAGGGCCCCTCCAATGGATTTCTGCCACGTGGCGAGTTTCCTAGATTTATGTCAATTGAGTCTTATAAATAACCCTATAAGTAGATTAAAAACCCCATGTAGAAATATTTACATGAGCCGGCCTCTCTCTCTCTCTCTCTAGAAAGAAACCAAGTAAATATAATTAAAAAAATAGATTAAAAACTCAGATTGATAGTTACTATGATTAAAAAATAATCATGACCATCATATTGCAAAATATGAAGTTTGTATTTTTTCCCATAAATGGCAAATTGATCATTAATTTGCAAAATAGTGACATGCGCTTCCAATTTCTAATTATTGGAGAAATACTAGAAATGAGAGTACTCTTAAAGTTTTACGATACTTCAATACTAGCAAAAAGCTAAAAAAATAATCTATTTTTTTAAAAATGAGCTATTTTTTGTATTATTTTGACTATGAAATAATACTTTATTAAATATTCTTAGTCGAAAAATCACTAAAAGAATGGAGCCATCTAATTGGAACATGTTTATGATGTGGGTCCCTTCATATACAATTTATATGGTACGATTCTTGAATGATATCGTGGATATAAATCAAGAAAAAAAATAACATGCAGTAGATGACCCATGAATTTCTTGATGATTTATGAACCGAAAAATGGACGAAAATTGACTCATTCGCGCGCTCTTTTTTTTATCGAATCATTCAGCACCAAAGGGAGGGATTTCAGTGCGTTAACTTCACCTTGAGAGTTGACGATGGGCCCTTCCTCCTACCCTGCACTCCTCCACCCTGTTCCTTTCACCAGCTAGAGAAAGCTCTCCAACACAGCGAGTTGACTTCCAGAGCTCCGCCACAGCTCTCTCTCTCTCTCTCTCACACACACTCTAGACCCCAATGAGATCGCCGCAGAGCAGCCAATAAGAAGCGAGTGGAGCAAGCCAAAAAAGGAACCATTACGAAGAATGTCAACACAGGGTCTCACTCTTTTCCTACGCTCTGGTCCACAAATGGGTCTTCTGAGGAGGATCCGGCCTCTGGAACCTCCGGTTCTGGAGATGAACTCTTCTCGAGGGTCTCTCCTTCCTTCTTGCTCTCAGAATCCTTGCCTTGGGTGAGGAGCAGGGGAATCGAAGGATTAGTAATATGCATGGCCTTGGAGAGAGACACATACTTGAGGACCAGCTGCTTGTAGCTGCTCAGCAGGCTTTCCACATCGGGGACCGTCAGGTCACCCGCTCTGGCATATAAGAATGGGTACTCCTGGAAGTACTCGTTGACTTGATCGTCCTTCATAAGGTCAACGGCACCCTTCTTCACCAGATCCAAGACTGAGACCCTGGTTCGCTCGTGCTCTCTGCGAGCTCTCGATTCCGTCTGTTCTTGGGCATTTGCTTCTCGGTTGACCGGCGCCGACTCGTTGACTAAATCGGAGGTCAGCCCTGAGAGAACCGCCCGGGCGGATTCCATGCATCTCTGGTACTCGTCATCCTCCATGGAGAGGGAGTTGGCGTCGATGTTCCAGATGAAGGACTCTGCGGAGAGGATGTTTGTGAAGAAGTATGCAGACTCGGAGACCAATCGGGATTGGCGCCTGTAGCGCTGGATGTACAGGAGGTTTGAATGCAGCTGTGGAGGATTCGCCTGCATCGTGTGGATCGAAAAGAAATCATTTTTAATAAATGATTGAAGAAAATTAATATTATTCACCGGAGAAATGAAAAACAGTGAAAGATCATCCAATAGAGAATGTTCTTGGGAATGTGAAACATATGTTACATCAAGATCTTCTTCAGAATTAGAGAGAGATTTCTCATATGAACGTACAGTGAGATGGCCAACACATTCTCTCTCTCTCTCTCTCTCTCTCTCTCTCTCGCTAAATATCAATATACATGCAGTATGTGGAGTTAATCCCATGAGGTCAACGGAGAAGAATGAATGAAGACGGAAACCCCTGGGAGGAAATATGTCTTGCCTTTATCGTGACGTAGATGAGGACAGGAAGGAATTCATCTGCTCCTGGGGGATTATCGCTTGATGCAATGGACGCATTAATCAGCAAGTTGTTGATGACTTTGCAGCAGTTGAGTATGCAGACGAGCTTGTCTCTCGGAGCTTTATACATGTTGATCTTCTGCAGCTCTTTCTGAGCTAGCTGAAAGGTTACAGGAAAAAAAGTCAACGCTGGTCATCCACCACCAAATAGATCGCCACCACACTCATAATGTGCACACCTTCAAGTATAAAAATTCGCTGTTCATTTCCAGGGAATAAGGGAAACTGTGAATATACATTTAAAAACATACAGAAATTGATAAATAAATCAAAACCATAGTCCAGATAGAAATTTACCCTTTGATCATGCATAGAAATATATATATATATATATATATATATATATATATAAATAGGGAGAAAGAGGGGAGAGAGATCGAGAGAGAGAGAGAGAGATCTGGCATCTCACCCGAGGAATCTCCAAGCAGGTACAAAGATTATCTTAATTTTCATAATTTTGTGAGTCGTTCTTTTACTCTTTGTCCATAATAAACTACATTTGAGCAGCCCAATGGACTGATTTCTTTGACCATCCTAGCAGCCAGCCAGATCAAAGGATTGATAATCACTGTCCTAGACAAACGATCCAGTCAAGTACAGAGGGTGGAAGGATCAATCAAACTGGTTCCCCATTTCCACCAATTATCATTATTCAGATAAGAATATGAGCCCATTCAAATAAAGAGAGAAACATCATAATTACTTTCATGAAATCAAGTAATACGGTGAAAAAATTGCTCGCGGATAATATGGACTGGGAGCCTCCAGGTGAGTAATGTTCCTGATAATGCACGAGTTCAGATCCCAAGAATCTCCAGTCACTGAAGGCAATGCGGAACCCTCAACCTTCCCGAAATGAAGGGATGAGTTTCTCCCCTCTACAATATGGAATACCCAGTCCTCCACTGATGGGGTTATATTAAAATATGATTTTATGGGGGTTTTCTCGACGATCAGATGATCTCGCAACACACTGAGATGGTCTACCATATTTAACTTCAAAAAATAGTGGGAAACGAGGGGGCATACAGAGTGGGGGGGGACAACCAGAGAATGTATCTGATATAGAAGTTAAGACTCCACCTAACCCAAGAATCAATTTCCAAAGATGTTCGGATATTTCCAAGAAAGTCGGACAAAAAATAAGCTGATCTTATATGGTCAACGCCGTTGCCCATAACTTTCTAGTGGACTCTAATTGCAAAAATGTAGCATCTCAGGTTACATCTGATTTCTAGTAAGAAAATCAGGATGACACAACTAATTCTTCTGAAGCCTTGATTTGCATGTTTCGAACTCCAAATACCAAACGCAATTCGAGAATCCCCAGCTGACAGAAGTGAAAGTGTCAAATACGTGCGTCTTATGCTACTCTGCAAAGGATAGAAAATAATCGGCCTACACGGCTTACTGTTGTTTAAACTATTTCATATGGCACCAGGGCATGCTAAAATAGCCCCATATTGTCTGGAGGAACAAAACTACGTTGAAATTGATGGGCATGCTCCACTTTTGACCGACTGGGTTTGAGTTGGACATTCTGAACTCCTTCACTAAGCATATAAGTGCATCAATGAACTAGCAAATATAGTGGAAACTTAATACGACAAGGTTGTTTAAGTACTGCAGAATTTGCTCAACTTACCAACCATGATGTTTCATTTCGGAATGTTGGCTTGATATCTAAACTTTCAGGTCGTATAAACTGTTGCACCAAAGCCATCTTCTCATACAGCTCATCATCACGGTTTACATCTTCTGGAATTGATGCAAATGCACGGTTAAACAACTTTGTCATGACATACTTTTCCAGTCCCTATAACAGAAAGAGCATAGACATAGTCCGTAAGAGAACATGTTATGCAGTGAAATATAGCCTATAATAGAAAAACGAATATAACACGCGGCCAAGTTCCTGAGAGTTATAAAGCTCAGAAAGAATGATCAATATTTTGGAATAAGAAATCGCATTACACAACTTTATATCTGAGGTAGCTAATTAGAAAAATGCAATCCATCAGTTTACAAACCCAATGTAGTGTTAGACCACGAGTCTAATAGATAACCTTCAGGAAGCAAATGCAGGATTCGAACATATGGCCCTGAAGATGGGCTATATTGGGAACAAGTAATAGATGTCATGATTTGTTGACAATAAGTCAGATAGACGACATTTCATGTTAAAGAGTATCCATGTTAATGAAATAGTTGTAGAGGAAAATGATCTGTACAAGGAGAATAGCGATTCACACGAGAAAATTGCCATTTTTTATTGGAAAAGGACTTGACATTATAATAATGTGCAGCATTTATAGTTACAAGTCATCTCTTACCATTCACTGTAAGTTTTACAACGAAGAGAAACCCATTGATTAGTTTCCAAAGTGATAGATTGGACAACCCACCATGTGCTCCCTCTTTATTAAAGTTTCAGACATGACTCTGCAGGCTTCTCATTCATTTACTACACTTTATGTTACGATTTACTTCCCAATTACGGGAACACATGAAGATCAATTTTATGATCCTCTCTTTGAATCTATTACCTTAATCGCAATGTGCGCAGAGGGAAAGCACCTCATATGCACATAATAGGAACATGTTTCTGTATTTGGAGAGTTTTTACCATTATGACCATATGCAGGGGGAAGCACTTTTCTATTTTCTATTTCCACTTCACAAGAGAAAGATCTGCGAAAGAAGCATTTAGCAGATGGACAAAGTACCCTTTACATATAAAATAATCTCTTTGAAAAATGATTACCAAGCCTTCTTTGCTTTCAATTTTTTTTCCAGACAATCTTTGGATGCAAGAGCACACAGAAAGTTCATTAAACAGAACATGCAGAAAATTTGGATATATCAGAGGATCTAACTATTACGTTAGGTGCATTAGTGCGCCTATCAATCACACACATGGTTGTCAAAAACTTTGAGAAAATGTTTTCTGTGTTTTCAAAGAACTTCTCAAAGAAAATAATCAGTACAATTCAAAGAATTTCATGGCAACAGTAATAGATTCAGGAACAATTAGTGAATTCAGGATCCTTGGTTATGGATATAAGGTATTGAGAGCATTATTTATCTTAATGCATAAGCATATAACTCTCCCTATTAGTCCATTACTTTATTTAGAACTCACAATATCAGCCAGGCCAATCTAGGGATGGTTAGTCACGATGTGAGTCATCTACATTGTCATCTCATCTTTGATGGGAAGTCACTGAATTCGCCATTCAATTTCGAAAGTGAACCTTAGCTGTGAGTCCCAAGATGATTACGGCTTGGCTCTTCCATCTCCAACAAGATAACCAGCTATAGTGTTGGCAAATATTTCAATCCTGATAAGAAAATACTGAAGTGAGGCTAGGAGTTCGAGCTTTACTTGTTGGGTGACCTTTTTGCCGAATATGATTTCAAATGGGTGTCACTCTTAATTTGCTTTTCGAGTCCTTATTAGGGACTTAACTGGATATCATGGAATATCACGGGGCTTTAACTTACCTTTTCCAGATCAAATTCATCGTTTAAATTAATCAAATTAGTACTAAAAAGGCCATTTCAAGAAGGAAAATTATTTCAATACATGATGAAAGGATTTGATTTTCAGGCTTCTTTGACTTGAGAGAAAAACGGGTTAAATACTGGCTTGGGCATCATCAGAGTAAATAATAATCACATTCGTCAAGCAACACTGAAAATTAGGTCCACTTTCTCAACTTCATTGCTTTTGATAATCTGTTCTGAGAATAGGAAGATACAATGGACATGCTGCCTTAATGTAAACAATGAAACTACTGGCATCTTATCTTGATTCCAACAGCGTTGATGGGTAGCGGGTCTTAGCAGCCTAAAGAAAAGAGTTTCAATGATAAGAGAAACGGTGCAGTCTAATTTTCTCAAATGGTATAAGTTGCAGGGATATAAAAGTGTGTATAAGCAGCTTCCAAGAAACTTCCTCTTCAAAAGCAAAAGGCCATATTCCCATTTTCTTCCACTCTTCTCAAAAGAGTGGAATGAAGGACGAGACAGCATAGTTTTGGTTCCCGTTTTGGGCATCCATTCTATGACAACGAGGCCTGTATCTCTTTCATGCTTGCCAACTAATGTAGTTAGACAATGGAGAACTTCAACTATAACCGATTTGAGAAGAAATATAAAATGATGCATGCTCTCCTCCTCGCCAAGGCTGCAATAATTGTTGTTGCTAATGTTGGGTATTAGTTTGAAAGTGCTTAACTATTTTACCCAAGGGTTCGACCAGTCTGAGAAGTACCGCCTCAAAAGCCAAGTGCCCAAGTAATACCCTCAGATATTACTAATGAACACTTAATAAACTTTATCCGAAGGCAAATATCAAAAGGAAGTCACGAAGGAACAACAATAGTTTCCTTGAGGAAAGATGATTCATCAGCTAGTGAATAAAGTCCTGATCGTTAGCATAGCGTTCCAAATAGAAATATTCCATCCAAATAAGAAAGATAAATGCATTTTCCATAAAATGATCAAGAATGGCTGTTAAAAAGCTCACCTCTCCAGCACTTTCCAACTCTTCTTCTGAACAACCAGCCCAAAGGGAATGAGCCCTAAAAGCCGCTTCCATATTGGCAAGAAATTCTTGTACAGCAGCACTATCCTTTTCAGAGTCAGGAACCTTATTCGAAAATGAAACGATGAAGCTGCCATGATTCAGTAAAACATTTCTCAGTAAAAAGTGTATCATGAGCTTTATTTGATGAACATAGAAACTGAAACTTTTGCTCTCCCTTTGTTTTTATTTTATTTTATTTACATTTTTTACCATGTTAGAGAAAGTCAGTCATTTCATGTCTACATAAATTATTTGACACTGATGCAAGGCAAGCAAGAAGAGTAGATTCTCTACTTCCAGGGAGGAAAAGTTTAGTCTATTTTAAGGATGGCATATCAGAGTTTTTTGTGCCTTCATGGTAACACTTTAGAGCTGACGTGATATCCAGTCCAGGTTAGCTAGACTTCATTTAAAAATGACGTTATTCATCTATATTCGTTCAACTTATGAGCTTCCATTATTTCCTTATAGTCCACTGCATTCTTACATAAGGGGTTTCTAGGGAATCCTTTTAGGACAGAAATAACTGCAAGGCCTATACCTTATTGGAGAATTGCAGATTTCTATGTCAATGCCCGTCCAGACCATCCTTTTGTCCCTCCGCATGTTTATCAAGCTACGTTTAGATTAGCACCCAGAGCTATTTCAATTATCCGCTTCCCCATGAAGAAAGGTCTAATGCAGCGTCTTTCAACGGATTGGAGGACTGGAATAGACTGACAATAGCCAAACAATCGGGTATACAACCTATTACTCCACACTCTGAGAACTACATCAAGCAATGCGTTTATGATCATCCAGGAAAGCATTGTAAGACAACAAAAAGAAATTATGAGATCGAAAATACGGTTCTGTACTACAGCATCAACAGAAATTATCCAAGTCCAATAAAAATCTTGAACTGCGCAAGCTTGGGCAAAAAGGTGGCTTAAAATTTTAGAATATTTTAAAGAAAATCCAAATCCAAGCACACGTCGCCAGATTCATCCAGGGAATAGAGATCGGGAGCCAAGAGGCATGTTCGGTCGCATGCGTCGACATTGAAAGATGCGAGAATTACCAGGGTCATCGCCAAAGATCCGGTTCCTGAAGCCGCAAATTCAAGAACAACGGCCCGAATTTGGGCAAGGGGAAGGAGGTTTCAACGACAAATCAGCTGACCTTTTGATGGACTTCACAAAATCGGCTGCCGAGGGGTGGCGCATCCTCTCGAGGAAGTCGTGCCAGGTAAGAGGCGCGGTGGAGGAGCCAAATACGTCGGCGCCACTCCCCGAACTCCCCCCGCCGCCGTCCATTTCCAGCGTGGCGGCAGAGACCGCCGGATTTCCGCCGGTGAACTAGTAATCTGACCCGCAGGTTGGAAGAGGAGAAGGAGAGAGAGCGAGCGAGCGAGCGAGAGAGAGAGATACCAACCGGTCAACTTCCGCGACAACGTCCACATTCCAGTTGATTATTTCACATACACCTTTTTAAATGCGGTCAAATTATTTTTATAATTTTTAATTTAAATAAAATTCAGCCCCGTATATTTATTTCACATTTTAGCTTTAATCTTCTCGCTAATTCGGTATCATTACAACTCAAGCACAGAAAATAAGAAATTTTTCCTATTTTTCATTTACTATAAATGGTAAATATCTGCAAAGTATTAAATCATTTTTATTTGATCTCTCTTATTATAAAAATAACCAGCATCGAGTCAAAACTGGTGAAAATATTTTTTTTAGTAAATAAAGTATTATCGAGCTTACAACAATCAACTTGATACATCCCTTTTAACTGTTAATAATTTACTAAATTAGTTGTCTATTAAATTATTGCACATTGGGGAAAATAATTGAGACAATATCTACTAAAATGTATATATTTTCGATTTTTGCATAGAAATGAGATTGCAAATTCATAAATATAAACATAAAAAATCCATCAAATAATCTTTTTCATGCAAAGCATAAAGACGAGTCAACTAGTATGTTATCTTTCCTTCAGTTGACTCCAAATCATTATATCACAGTTGTTGAAAACACCTCAATAAGTTATATTTATACCCAAAAATTAAATTATTCCCAATATTCTGGGAGAGAGAGAGAGAGAGAGAGAGAGAGAGAGAGAGAGAGAGAGAGAGAGGGGAGGAGGAGATAATATTTGGTAAAAAATCATAAATTAATTATAAACATAAAAAATCCATCACATATTATTCTTAATGCAAAGCATAAAGGCAAGTCACGAATCATTACATCACAAGTTGGAAATACCTAAACTAAGTTATATTTATACCCAAAACATTAAATATTCCAAATATTATGGGAGAGAGAAGGGGAAAGATGAAGTAGGGTTTTATTCTAGGAAAACGAACTTTTTTTAAAAACCGTAACTAATGAAAGTGGACAGACTGCTATTATGAAAATGTGATATATTACTAATAAAATAGTAGAAAAATGAAAAAAGATAAAATATTTGGTAAAAAATTCAGAAATTAAATTATAAACATAACAAATCCATCACATAATATTCCTAATACGAAGCATAAAGACAAGTCCACTCGTATGTTATATTTCATTTAGTTGACTTCAAAGCATTATATGACAAGCTGGAAATACCTCAATAAGGTATAATTATATCCAAAAATTAAACTATTCTAAATATTCTGTGAGGGGCAGATAAAGCTTTTTATTCTGGGAGAACGAACTTTTTTTTTTTTTAAATCAAAACTAATGAAAATGAACAGACCACTATGATTGGATAGGGTAAATGTCATATATTAATGACAAGAGTAAAAAAAATAAAAAAAGACAAAGTTCATAAATTTTATTGGGATTGAAAATAAAATAAAATAAATTAAAAATTAAAAAAAAATGCATTTGAACTAGTTGTAGAACATCACTAGCATACAGATGTGGCCTCATTAAAATCTCAATTACTTTCCAGAGAAACCTTTTAAAAACTTAATTGCAATGTGGATCAAATATCTTCAAAACTATTGAGACATTGAATTAAAGGGAAGCATCCATATGAGCAGAATCACTGGACCAAAGACCTCAAGGGGGGCCAAGGACAGAGATTGGAAAGAACTTCATAGTGATCATATCATTAAGAACTGACATTGATTCAAACAGAATCCAGTAAGTCCTGATTGTAAAACATAGCCATTCCATCAAAAGTATAGCTATTCATCCAAACAGAATCACTACATCAGATTTCAAGGACTCACATAGAGATAGAGATAGAGGGAGAGAGAGGAGAGAGAGAGAGGAGAGAGAGAGAGAGATTGGAATAACTTCAAAGCAATCATATTATTCATAAGTCACATTGGTTCTCATTACTAGTAAGAGAAAACTCCTACTCATAAAACATGACCATTCAATCAAAGCATTGGCATTCATCCGAGTAGAACCACTTGACCAGATTGACATTTCCTCTGAAACTAGTCAATAGGATTTGCCACAGTGTATCAAACTGCCAGCTCCGAGGAACAACCCAAAAATGGCCGCACTGCCGAGAGTTGTCTGCCCTATGTACCTGATCTTCAACAGTCCAGGGACCTGCCACAAGCCATAGCAAGCAAGCATGCAATGACCCATAAAAGCAGATGCCAAAATAGAATTAGATATCTATGAAGAATTTTTTTTCTAAGCGGGAAATAAATAACCTCTGCAAATTTCAATGGTTATAGAGGAGTTAATGTGAATATGAGGTTTGGATAAATATCGGTCCAAATTAGCACACTAAATAATAAGTTAAGCTGCTGTTAAAAAAAGATTAAAGAGAAACGTTAGGCATATTAAATTATAAAATTCTACAAGTTTTATAAGATACAAAAAAATCATAAACATTGAAGATTTCCCCAAAATTTTAAATAAAATATATTTTTAAAAATTAGAATGCTGGAAATTCTCCAAGAACAAAGGTGGTCAACTAGAACTTGGGTTCTCGCTCGGAACTCTTTCGATCCCACATCCACCCATAAACCCTAAAGTCCTCATTTATTTTCATTGTGGACTTGCGTGTGAGAGAATACTATAGTGTGTGTACTCTCTGGCATGGAGACTTAGAGAGATAACTTTCTCCAAGGATTGGTGTCTCATGGGCGATTATTCAACTTGGAACTGGACCAATATGGTTTGACCAGAGTCCATCCGACCATTAAAAAATATTTTGCTGAAGTATGAGGAAGGATAAGAAAATAGAAATGAAGACAAAAGGACAAGGCAGATGTAAGGGGACGTGGAGAGGATCAATTATTTTCACCATTAACGTCATATTATCTACCTTATACGGGGAAGAACATCAAACCCCACATAATACTTGGGATTGAGTCTACCGATAAAGATTGCAGCATGTCGACGCCAGTACCGAAAAATACTTGGCGAAAGATAATAATCATATCATTGTCTTTCAAGCATTCTACTCAGAAGGCGTGATTCCCTCCTAGTTACTAGGAGTCCTAGCTCAACAGTTCCAAGAATATGATTCAGTTATCATGGGCATTATATTTTGAAGTGAAAAAACCCAACTGGGACTCTTCCTAGTCCACGAATCAAGAGATTTTCTATCCAAGTTGGATAAGCCAGGTGAATCTGCACTGCCCAAGCATGATCTAGATCAACATGGTTTGAATGATCCACAGGGAAAATTCCCTACAACAACCAAATATTTCATGAGAACAGGGGACATGAATTATTCTGGCTAATCTAGGGTGAATGCTGGCTATTACAGGAAAGGTTTTGAATGGCATTCATACGAGCAGCAGAAGCAGCTGGTAGGAAGAGGAAGTGACTGAAAATCAATCCTCCACAAATGGGCCATAATGTCGAAGGAATACATGAAATCTATTTTCTCATTTGTTGCACTACTGCCCCTCCATTCACTCACACCAAACCTCAGTTTAATACCTTGTGCGGGAGAAAATAGTGAGAAAAGGAGAGCTGCTTCAATATGGACTTTACAGTATGACACCAATTCCAAGAGTATATTGAAAATAATTTCATCAGATATCACGATTCAGCACGGTAGAGAAGAAACGAAGAATGCCCTCGGAATTTCATTTAAAATGAAGACAGCAACTCTGAGAAGGGAAACATCATATAAAGAAAGAAGATTCTTGTGATGTTATTATAAATTAAAAAGTTAACAGGTTAGAGGCTGCCAACTAGTTGACTACACAATTGCTACGGTAATTACCTGATACTAATTACTGAATAAATAAAGAAGTGATAAGGGAAATTGAAACAGGAGACAATATAAAGTCAACACGTGCAAAATTTCTAGGGTTCCAAGGATATTTAAGAAAGCACAAACCATTATAAGTCTAATTGTAACAACAAAGTAGACTCGAATTCATTAAGAACTTTGGCTATGTTTCAAATCCAAAACCAAATCATTTAATAATATACGATACCATAATGCAAAAAACAAGATTGAAAATTACTAAAGTAAAAAATCACATATAATTTACTGCACCAATTATATTTCTACAGTTGCTTTGAGCGGCAGAGATCTGATATGATTTCTAATGGTACCTTATATCTTACGGCCTCATAAGTCCCATAGACAGCACCTGAAAGCACACAAAATTAACCAATCTTAAAGTAAGTTGGGGTCAAAGAAATTTCAGTATTTTATGATATTTAAAACTATTGAAAGATGGAGTGAGAAGAATCTCACCAGAACATACCGGAAAGATATCTCACTCACAAAACTATATTGATATAGCAAAATTCTGACGAAACGACTAAGAAAACATCATAATATTCATAAACGAAAATGAGAACCTAACTTGAAGACCTCCATAGCGAGCAGTTAATAGGACATGTAATAGAAACAAGAAATACGATATATGATGTGAGCATTTAAGAACAAAACACTCACACTGAAGAATTAGACAAAAGGGCTTAAGAAGCATAAGATTCTAATGGACTTCATGGGCAATCTTAGTAGTAAAGTATGGTTAAAAATCAACACAAGAATATAAAGATAGCACCACTGCCCTACCATTTTTTTACATTTATTTTCACTCCTAATGGATTTCAGATGAACCAACGGCTAAGTTCTCAAAGAAAAATGAACCTCCTAAAAGGAAGGAGACAAATGAAAGCCCTAAGATGGTGTGGTGTCCTACTGGATCGAATAGAAAGGCTTCCGAGAGAAAAGAGAAACTCAAACCTAAAATCGTGCGCATCATACTGTGAACAAAAAAATTCCCAAGATTTCTTGGAGGTGGCAAGATTAAGAGTAATTCAGACATCCAATCTCATGGAGGAATTACGGCGACTCATCCTGCCGTCCAGTGTCAGCCGCAAATGCCTCGGTAGCGTTTGTATGCTAAAAACACCCTCTGGCCAAACCTCGGTCACGACTGGTTTAGAGATTACTGTTTTCCGAACCATCAACGAAACATCCCAGAGACCAAGAACAAGCATGCGAAGAATACAACCATCACGAAAGCCATCAGAAGCCTCCCAAAACCCCCACCAACTGTCCAGCCGGAGAAGAAGACGCCCAAGAATCCTAGGGTTCTAGCAATGCCGACATCCCCACCGGAAAGAGAGAGACAGAGAGAGATCCGGGCTTATCATAGGAAGTCAAGAGGGGCAGCACTCACCGACGGCGCCGCCGATGGCGCCACCGACCGCGGCACCTGCAGTAACACGCGCCAGGCAGCTGTCTCTCGCCATCCACAATCAATCCTCCTCTCTGTTCTCTACTTAACGCTCAGGTTCTTCGTGCAGGCGACGCTCAGGCAGACAGCCGGCCTCCTTCGTCTCCCCTTATGTGGCGAACTGCTGCTCTCCCTGTGCGATACAGGTATATGGAAATTTGAGCCCCTATTTACTATTAAAAACACAATTTTTGCGCCCAGTCTTTAATTTTTTTACACTATAATAGAGTAAAAATTCATTTTTATAACATATTAAATGCAAGCTTTTATGAAAAAAAATATAAATAATTGGGTTCAATTAATTATTTAATTTATATATGCCCTTATCATTTAAACTTTCCCATTTTAAGTCTCCTAAAATTATGCAACAACAACAAGAGAGACCCAATTAACTTCAGTAAAATCGATTTTTTTTTTTATCCAACCAAATAATACGAATATTAATTCACCTAAAATTATAATCTCTCTCTCTCTCTCTCTCTCTCTCTCTCTCTCTCTCTCTCTTCCCTCCCTGCTTTAAGTGCAGGTCAACACCTATTCACCCACTCCTTCCTACCTCCCCCTTCTCCAACCCCTTGAGTAAAGACTTCAACTTTATGGGTCTATGCTTCATATGAACAATTATAGTTAATAATATATGTCAATACTTCGACTTTTTAATTAATGAAAATTATTTTGAAGTAAATTGGGCACATTTACAGAAGGGCACAGAGTGGAGCCCTTGAGAGGCTTGCCTGAAGTGTTTATACTCAACAGATCCCATGCTTTTCCTGGAATTCATACATGACATGACTGAAAGTGTCAAGGGAGATTGTCTTGCGCTTGGCACATGATTACCCACACAGTCTGTGTGTGTGTGTGTTAGAGGTACATATAAGGGCCAAGCTGGGCTTCATAAGGGTCTACCTTTGCACTCAACGCCATCCAAGCCAATTGGTACCAGCAGGCTGACAGGCCTAGCAAAAGAAAGAGTTTTGCTCTTCTAGCAAATGCTTCCGCATGGGATTTGAGAGCAAACATGCCGTAAATCTTACATTCCTTGGCCGGAAGATCAAACGTTTTCTGCCAAAGGTGCATCATAGATGGATTTCTATCAAAAGATGGGTAGTTGCAGACCATATGATGTTAATGTGATCCAAATTCACCAGTTCTGTTCCCTCTAATGGACTCTCCTCCTAAATCAATCCTTCCATCCACCTCTCATCAGCAATCTGACCCATCTTCACCCACTCTGATCTCATAATTTCTCATCTGCGCTCATCAGAGCCAGAAACTGCTGCTATTCAGATAGAAATATATCAGTCATCTGACCCATCCTCAACCACTGAGTATTTCCGGTTTTCACTACCAGAAAGTGTTCTTCAGCAAGAAATATATCCGCCATCTGACGCATTTTCATCTGCTCCGGATTGCATGAGTTCCCATTTTAAGTCACTAGAACCATAATCTTTTCTTCATCAAGAATAATGCCAGCCGCTTAATCCTCTGTACAAAGTTTCCCTGGACCCAAGTCTCAATCTCCCCAAGAAATTTACATAAACAGAGGCAGAAAATTTATGGGCTTCGATTTGGATGCCTGTGGTGGGCGTCCTCACCTGCCACAAAAACATGAGATGCCTGACTGACCCTTAGCCAACTCAAACCAGGGCCTTTTCTTATCCCCTGTTCCCTCATCATCTTCCTCAGTCTCTTCACCTCGCTCCATTGACTTGCAGCAGCATACAGATTTGAGAGGGCTATGTAAGCGCCGGCATCTCTTGGATTCAACTCCAGGAGACGCTTTGCTGAGTACTGCCCCAGCTCGGGATCCTGATGAACACAGCTAGCCGCCAGCAGTGAAGCCCAGATGTATTCATTGGGCTCGAAGGGCATCTCTCTGAGGAGGCCTGTTGCCTCCTTGAGCCGCCCTGCCCGGGCCACCATGTTGATCATGCATGAGTAGTGATCCACAGAAGGCCTCTCAATTGATCTGAACCATCGGTAGCCCTCCTCAACCAATCCCCCATGGGCGCAGGCTGATAGGACTCCAAGAAAAGTTATGTTATTCGGCTTCAGATCTCTCTGCGCCAATAACTCATGGAACAGCTCCATCGTTTCATCGGCAAAGCCGTGACGGGCGAGGCCATGGATCATGGCATTCCACACAGCCAAGTCGGGCTCTTTGATTCTCTTGAATATGTCCTTGGCCTCCGCAATATACCCACATTTGGCGTACATATCCAGCAAAGAATTCAGAACATGGGCATCACACGGAGAAGGATGTGATTTGATGAGCTGGGCGTGGATCTGCTTACCTTCTTCCACGGCAAGGAGGCTGGCACAAGCTCGAAGGAGGCATGAGAAGGTGTAGTAGTTTGGGAGAAGTAGAGATCCCTCTGAGACCATTTTGAAATAGAGATTCAGCCCTTCACGGGTTTCCCCAATCTTGGACAAACCGGAGATTAAACAAGTCCAGGAGACTACATCTGGTGAATCAATGTCATGAAAGAGTTGGGTTGCTTCATCCTGGCAGCGGAATTTCATGTACATTGAGATGAGGGCGCTGCCAAGGAGCTCATTGCTCCCAGCATCGAGTCCAAATTTAGTAGCGAGGCCATGAAACTGCCTCCCCAGTTTCAGATCGTTTACAGCTGACACAAGGGGAGTTATAGCTCCACCATTCAGCTCATCCGCTGCTTCAATACTCCCAAACAGCAAGTCAACGGCTTCTTCCAGATGTCCCCTTTGAGCGTACTCTGAAATCCCCAAGTTGAAATGCACGGAGTCTTTGCCAGGTATTTCGTCGAACAGCTTGCGTGCATGGTGGAAGCAGCCACAGGCCAGGTAATTCTGGAACAGGGCTGTCCCAATGTACGAATCCATGCTTCCCGTCGATTCCTTCAAGATCAATCCATGCAGCTGCTGGATCGTCCGCAAGCTGGAATCCCGGCAAGCCCGGAGAACAATTGCCAGGGTCGTACGGTCCAGATTGACCTCCTTCAGCCTCATCCTGGAGAACAGCCTCACGGCTTCATGGCCACCCATGGAGCAGCCGTCCATTAAAGCGTTCCAAGCGGCTGTATTGGGCTCGGATATGGAAGAGAAGGCAGATTTTGCAGAGGTCATGTCCCCGCACTTGGAATACAGATCGACCAGCGCCGTCCCAACGACGACATCTGATCCGAGGGACGATTTGATCACGCCGGCATGAACTTGTCTGCCTGAAGATTCACAGAGGAGACCAGCACAGGCGCGGAGAGCAGCGGAGAGGGCGTACCCATTAATCTCCGCGTAGCCACCTTCCACCATCTCCCTGAAGATCCTCAGAGCTTCCTCGTACTCACCTGCGCGGCTGCAGTTCGTCATCATCGAGGTGAATGCGACGACATCCTTGTGGGAAATTCCATCGAACAATTGGCGTGCCAACTTCGGGTTACCCAGCTCCCAATACAAATCAACCATGCAAGTATAAAGCACTGCCATATCCTCGTCGGGGAAAGCTTCTATCTTGGTGATATATCCGTGGATCTGCGACAGGAGTTCGAGTTCCTCCATGTCTGCGCAGGCCCTGAGGGCGCTCCGGAGGGTGATGGAGTCCGGAGGGTGCCTGCCTGAGAGGAGCATCTCGGCGAACAGCTCCAGGGCAGCCCGCGGGCGGCGGTGGCGCAGGCAAGCGGAGATGGCGGTGTTCCAGGTGACGGTGTCGCGGTCACGGAGGAGGAAGAAGAGCTGCAGAGCGCCATCGAGGGGCCCCCGCTTGGCGGCGGCGGAGAGCAGGACGTTGCTTTCGTAGGCGCCGGAGCGGCTCCCCCCCGAGCAGCGGCAGCCGCGGCGCGGCGAAGAGGAGGGCGCCCACCGCTTGCGCTTGACCGGCGGCGGCCGGCCAGGAGTCGGGGGGGAGAAGACGGCGGTGTGCTTCCAGTTATTGGTGGTCGACGGCACATCCATGAAGGGAAGAGACGCATCGTCCGAGGTTCCCCTGTGCTGCGCGTGGAGAGCTAATTTTTTTATATGGGGGGGCGGGGGGGTTGATAATTTAATTTAGTTATTATTTTATGCTTTAATAAACTTTAGAATTAAATTGAAATACCCTATTTCAAGAAATTATTGAATAATAAGACCCATTTCATTGGTTAAGACTCGACCCGAGAACAATTGTTGACACTTACACTGGACATTGGGATCATGCAAGGTAATTTTCTTGATGAATGAAGATTGATATTTGCTTAGAACATTAGTGATATTTTTTAAAATGTAATTAGGATGATAACGCCATTTGACTAGTCAATGGTACATAAAGTATATACTTCTAGGAAGCAATGTGACAAAATATTGGATTCTAGGTTCCTACATAAAGTTCTACTTAAATCCTTTATATTTTTTTCATCTATATTTAATTAAAATTTTGGGACGTAAAGAAGATGGACTAATTTTGACTAAAAATTATTAAGAAGGGGGTGAACTGATAATATTTTCTTTTTTTAATCAAACTTAAATATCTAGATAATATTCTTCCATGTGGTAATCATCAAGAAAATTACACTGCAATTTTATAGTGGTTTTGTCTTGTTGACCTGCTTCTACATTTTAAGAATTTAGTCTTTATATTCAATTGATTTCTTAGTACTTCCACACTGATTTAACAGCTTTAGCCAACTCAGAATTCTATCATAGAATCATTGATTCATACCTCTAAGGTGTCCAAACTAGAGAAATGTTTTACTTTTCTCTTTTTAGATTCTACGTTCTAAGAAAATATAGAATTTCAATAATTAAATTGAATGAAATTGTAAAACTTACCCAAGTTTACAATGATTCATTCTTTATACAAGCTTGGGTCAAAGATTTTGATTTGTTGATCATATGTTTGTGCAACTTTTTTTTCACACATTCTCATCTCCAAGCTCGATCAAATTTGAGCACTATAGAGTGATGGTTATCTCTTCTCCTCTTCCTCTTCTATCTCCATGATAATTGAGTGGGATGAAAGATGGATGGTCCTTTGTTCTCCTTTGCTTTTTCAATCTTAATTAAAGGTTAGTGGCATGGAAAATGGTTGACCTTTTTGATCTTTCCTTGCTTTGCCTTATTTTGTTCTTGATCTTTCCTTGCTTCTTCTCATTCTCTTCTTGATCTTTTTCCTTCCCTTGCAATCAGATGCGAGGTGCATGGAGAATGGCTGATCTTCTCTTCTTCCCTTTCTTCTTCTTGTTCACTTCTCAATCTCTATCTTATTCCTTAGTGATCAGATGTGAGGGGCATGTAGAATCATATCATTCTTCTCTTTGTTAGGATGATCAACAGCATCAGTGCAGATGAAGTGGATCGCCCTAAACTTCTATTTTCTTTCTCATTATCAGCCGTTTAAGAGATAAAGATATATATTTTTTCTTCTTTATTGCTCCAATAAATGGGTCGGGTACAAAATGGACCTGATCACGGTTCATTTCATTTAATTTTCGGATCCTGTTTTAAAGAGATCCGATATTATTTTATCTTGGATCCAAAAATTAAATCCCATATGCCTTAAATTAAAAATCATCAAAAGCATCAACAACAATTCCTTAATCACCTTGGAAACTAAACCATAATGACTTGAAAAATAATTCCTAAAATTGGATGAATCCAAAATTTTATTTTAATAAAAAGTATATTTTATTTTTATGAAAAATATTTTATATTTGAATTGTTCTATATTTTTAGGCATAACCATAAAATTTTATGGTATCTTATGCAATCATGATCAGCCAAAGTACAGAGGTGGCTAGTCCTTGAGCAGTCAACTAAATACTAATTTACAGATTATTTGTGAATGTATTGCAATTATTCTAATTTATATGAAATAATGAAAAAATATGCATATTAACCTCCAAAAATGAATACATATATTTTTAATAGACAAGGTGTCATATGCCACTACAATAATAAAAGCCTTAATCTTTGAGGAAAGTTGCTGATTTTTTATTATATTCTTGAAAAAAGAAAACGAAACGATTCCCAGCAGCTCACATTGTTGTACATCTTACTAGAATACTCCAACCAAGTTATGATGATTCCCTATTTGACGTAAGCATGTGGCCATGTGGCGGTCTCGCAGCGGTCCACTAGATTCTAGATATCGTTGACCCGGAAACTGGAATGGGCATAATTATTATTAGTACAATTGACTTAATTTTAGAGGGACATTTCCCCGGCATTTTGGAAGGATATCATCTTGCTGCTAAACTCCGACGGCGGCGGGATCCTGTGAGATCGTCTTTCTACATATGCACCGATACGGCGGTGGCGGAGGGCCTACAAGACTGAAGCTTTCATGGAGGAACGGAACCCTCCGCCGTCGCTTGCAAGAAGAAGATGGCGAACTCCGCCACCGCGAGCCTCCTTTGCACCGCCGCGTTCTTGCTGTCTGCATGGTCGGCCTCCGGCGGGGCCCTCAACGTCAAGGACTTCGGCGCCATTGCTGACGGCCGGAGCGACGCCGCCGGCGCGGTGCTCGCTGCCTGGGCCGCCGCCTGCTTCAGCGACGGCGTTACCGCTGTGCTCGTCCCCGCCGGGAACTTCCTCGTGGGGCCGGTGGCCCTGAGGGGCCCCTGCAAAGGGCCGATGACTTTCCGGTTAGAGGGGACGGTGAAGGCCCCCGCTGACCCCGCCGCCTTCTCCGATGAGTACTGGATAAGCTTCGAGAGCATTGACCAGCTCACCGTGAATGGCGGCGGGACCTTCGACGGCCAAGGAGCCACCGCCTGGTCTCGCGGCGGCTGCACCGGCGCCTCCAAATGTAGAATCCCCCCCGTAGTGAGTAATCCTAAGTCAACGATGGATTTTTTTCCTGTTTTCATTATCGGTGAGTTTCACCTATATCAAAATATAATGTTCTACGTAGTCTTTACAGGATAATTCCAAGTCAACGACCGATATTTTTTCCTTCTTTTCATGATCCGTGAGATTCATTTACACCCAAACAGAATGTCCTACGGGGTCTTTAAAGGATAATTCTACGTCAAAGACCGTTGCTTTTTTTCTTTTCCATAGTTGCTGGGATTCAGGTACATCAAAACATAATGTTCCACAGTTTTTACAGGATAATTCTAAGTCAAGCCCGATGTTTTTTCTCTTCTTCTCATCGTCAGTGAGATTCAGATAGATCAAAACAGAATGTTCTGTTTCATGGAATAATTCTAAGTCAACGCCTTATGTTTTTTCTCTTCTTCTCTTAGTCCGTGAGATTGAGCTGCATCAAAACAGAATGTTCTACTCAGTTTTTATGGGATAATTCTAAGACAACGCCTGATGTTTTTTCTCTTCTCATAGTCCGTGAGATTCAACGACATCAAAACTGAGTGTTCTACACAGTTTTTATGGGATAATTCTAGATCAACGATAAATGCTTTTTCTGTCCATAGTCGGCGAGATTCAGCTACATCAAAACATAATGTTCTACAGATTTTCACATGATAATTCTAAATCAACGTCGGACATTTTTTTTCTCCTTCTCGTAGTCTGTGAGATTCAGCTTCGTCGAAACATAATGCTCTATAGAGTTTTTACAAGATATAATTCCAAGTCAACACCAATGAATGTTTTCTTCTTCTTCTGCTTCTCACAGTCGGTGAGATTCAGCTTTGTCAAGTGGGCGACCATCGACGGGATCTCCTCCATTGACAGCAAGTTCTTCCACATTCTGATATCAGACTCTGAGCACATCACTGCCCAGTTCCTCACCGTCACCTCGCCGGCGGACAGTCCCAACACCGACGGCGTCCACATCACACGCTCCAGCGACATCACTGTCGCCCACTCCACCGTGCGCAGCGGCGACGACTGCGTCTCCGTGGGGCCCGGCGCCGCCGGGCTCCTGGTGGTCAACGTCACCTGCGGGCCGGGGCACGGGATTAGCGTGGGCAGTTTGGGGAGGTACGAGAAGGAGGAGGACGTGAAGAACATCACGGTGAAGAACTGCACCGTACAAGGGACGCAGAACGGGGTAAGGATCAAGACATGGAGGTCGAATTACGCGTCGTCGGCGTATAATATTACGTTCGAGGATGTTGTGGTGAAGGATGCTGCGAACCCTATCATCATCGATCAGTATTACTGCCCTCATCTCTCTTGCAATGACCAGGTGCGTTTCTCTCTCTATCTCTCTTCCTACTCCCCTTCCTGGGTTTGTGATGATCTCTATCGCTACTGCTACCTTCATCTCTCTTGCAACGACTAGATAGGTTCTCTCCACGGTCTGACTCTATGAGTTTCTCCCTTCCCTCTTCCCTATCCTCCCTCCATGATTATCCCTCCATCCCTTTATCTCTTTCCTTCAACCTCTCTCCCTCTCTCTCTCTCTCTCTCGCTTTTCGTCTCTCATCGATTTAATTACACATTTACGCATGGTCAAAGCAACATAGATCAATTGCAGTGGTCTCACGATCTTCGTGAATACCATTTTTCTTTCTTTCTCTCTCTCTCTCTCGCTCTCGCTCTAGATGCGTCTACTTCAAACAGTCCTCATATGCCCATCTTACTGCAGCCTCCTTCTCGGGTGAGCATCAGCAGCGTTAACTTCTGGAACATAAGGGGCACTTCGGCCACGAAGACCGCGGTCAACCTCATGTGCAGCAGCGCCAACCCCTGCCGCGACGTTGATCTCCGAGACGTTGACATCTACTACGAGGCGGGCAACAAACCAGTCTGCGAATTCTCCAATGTCAAGCCCATCTCCTCCGGCATTATGCAGCCTGCCTGCTCTCCTTCTCATGCGTAATGATCTTATACTACCAATGTTCTCACATAGTTTACAGTCTCGAATATTCCAATTATTCCCCTTCTCATGCACAGTAATCTTAAGACTTCAAGATAAATTTTAACTGAAGTATTTACCCAAAACCCTAAAATTTACAGACTGAGAATTAAAAAAACTATAATAAAATAATTTCCCATTAAATATGAAGGGTGTGGTAAATGAGCACGCCTGTTCACAAGTTTAAATGGTGGAAGCCTTGATGAACTCGGTCAGCTCATTGTCGCGGGGCTGTAAAATGTATGTTCCTCCAAAGTCAACTCAATACTCTCTGATCAAGAATGCAGATATGTCGATGGATTGGCGAGCCCATGAAAGTCACCATCTCTTGGTCTTGCCTGTGCAGAAGGAGACTTTGCTTCCCCTGGAGGTGTTCTCTTCTTGTCTCCTTGAGCAGAAGATGGTGTTCTTGAGGCTCGTCCCATAGTTGCATTAGTTTTGTTTTTCTCACTGTTTATTGTCAAATTATCGACCTTCCATTTCCTGCTAAATGTTTTATAAAGCTGCTCAACCGCAGTGAGAAGGATGACTTGAGAAGTTGCTAAAACTGGAGAGGACAAGCAAGTTGAATAGATTCGTCGAGTTTAAGTTAAAAACCAGTGCAAAAACAGGGCGGCAACTTTGAATAGACGAAAATGGATTTATTTGTTGAAATGTTGGTTTCTTCTACAAGACGATGAATAGATTTTAAAATATCAACAATAGTTGAATTCCAAATAGGGTAATATATCTGTCGTAGAGTGTGAGAAGTATAAGGATTATTATCTAATATGAAGAATCAAAATCAAACTTTCACACAAGCTTTTTCTTGAAAACTATTAATATAATATTAATAGTTTAAGAAGTCTACCCACAACTTATTTTCACACTTGATGACATTATAATGGAGTCAGAATAATCTGAATAATTGAAATATAAGATAGGGAACTGATATCACAATTATATCAATGTACCACGTCATCTAGATGAAAAGATAAAAATACTATAAAAGAAGGGTTTTGCACAAGTCATCGTAACTTCTAGTAATACACCATCAAGCTGCACCAGAACAGTCCTTACTGGTTAAATTGGGGAAATTCAAATTCTATGAAACACAGCAAAATAAAATTTCTAAAACCCAAAGATGAAAAAATTAAACTGATTATAATGTAAAGTTTTAGCTGATTTATAAGATTAGTAAGTCATGTTACTTTTATATGGCTATGAATACTCTATGCATTGAGATAGTTGACTTCATTTATCAACTCTTATTTGAATGTAAGTCCCATGTATTCAGTGCTATCTTTTATGTATTAGGTTAGCAACCTAATATATGAAGTTATTTACATACTCCTCTAGAGTACTATAATTTCATTTTGTAATATAAGTTCTATATATTAAGACATAAAGGTTGATGTGTTCCATTAATCTGAAATATGACATTTCATAAATTGGCATATTAAGCTTGGTATATTTCATTGTTTTGTAACATGACTCTTTAAATAGTAACAATCTTAAGCATGGCATATTTTGTTTTTTCTTTTTGAAGCATCACCCTTCTTGTAGTAAAACATGAGCTTTGATTTAATTAATAACTTCAAAATATAAGTATTCATATACTAGACATATGATGCATGATATACAATGTTATTCAACAAATTTTTTGATTTAATGAAATATGATATTTAATGGAATGATTTTTTCCATAACACTTAAATTCAATACTTCTTCTTTATAAATTAACTTTGATATACTGAAATATTAACATAATCTATTTTACTATTAAATAATGTAAACTTAACATAAGTATGGATATTGATGCATTCCTTCATTTTGTGACTTACCTATAACATATTTATTTTGATGTATTATAATATTCTGAAAAGTAAACTTGACATGTTGAAATATCAATCTTAGTATTCTATATTATTCTACAATGTGACCTTGATATAGTTGTTTATCAACTTTACTCTATTTAAATTTTTGAGAGACATATCTCATATAGTAAGATATTAATCTTTACATATTGTGCTATTTGAAAATAGTAGTTAGATACCACAAAATATTAGTTTGTATATATGACATTATTGTACAATGCAAACTTCTCATATGGTAAGATATTAAGCTCAATGTGCTACAAACAAATATAGTTGATATAGTAATATGAACCTTGATATATTCACTCTAGAATGCCAACTTGAAATATCAAAAATATCAACCTTAGTTTATAGTAGTATTTGGTAACACAAAGTTGATACATTGATGTATGATTATTGAAATTTTGTGGCTATTAATGTCATGGCATTGTGATGTTTTGCAATTACCTCTTGTCACAAGATTTTGTCAACTAGAAAACTTATAAGTTGTGAAACTTAAGAAGCAAAATGTAGAAGTAAATCTTCTGTTAATATACCTAAAGATATATCTGAAATGTATTATTAAAGTTTATTATATTATGAGAGTGACATAATGGCCTTCTTATGTTAATTAATATTTCACATCATATTGTTCTGATTCTCAGAGAAAACCTAACTAATTTATCACATCATAGAATGAATTCATATGAGAGTCAAATTTTGCAAGAAGAGGTAAAAGATATCAAAAAATACTTTAATTAAGAAGTGCATCCATTCTTATCCCCGAATTATTGATATTTAAGAAGAACAATAGTTGGTGCATTTGCATTAGCAATTATACTATAGATAAAACCTTAACTGAAATATAATTTTCATGTTTCATGGTTCCTCAAGATGCTTAATATGCTATCAAGATCAAAGATGCTTTCCAAAATTGTCCTAAAAGATAGTTATCATAAATTAGAATATGATTAGGTGATGAAGGAAAGGAACATTTTAGAAATAGAAACAACTTTTATGAATAATTGGTGTTGCCATTTGGTTGATCATATACTCCTAACAAATTGATGAGAATAATGGATAATCAATTGAAACTATAGATCTTCCTATTTATAGCTATTTATCTGGATGAGGTACTGATTTAGAGAAACACAAAAAACAAACATTTGTCACATTTGAGAGAGGCGATACAATTATATTAACAAAGCCTTGTTTCATAAATATTTGCAGTCAAACATGGGGATATAAGTTGATGAGGAGAAATTCTTTGCTATCAAATAGTAGCATACCCTAAAAAGATAATAAAGGCACAAACCCTTCATGATTAGCTTCTTTGCATGTTTATTAGAAATGCCTATTTTATTTTGACACCTATTTTGTCATCCATGAAAATGGAAAAAATTGATGCGGGAAAGAAAAAGTAATTTATGTCTTGCTAATGGTTCCCATAGATTTTGAAAAATAATTAGACTAAGAATGGCTTCATCAAAGGAGGGGCATCTTATGTCTTAATAGCACAAGCTTAACTAGAGAAAAAAGAAAAAAATTGACTATACATAAGAATTTCGAAAATTGTGACAGCCTTTTTACATGTGTGAATACTATCTTATTCAACATGAATAACGTAATTTTTTAAAAATCACTAAAATGTATTAATTATCAAAGTAATGTTAACACAATACAATGAAATAGGTTACATCTATTCAAATATTTACTTTAGTGTAATGGAAAACTTGGGTAAATTAACTTGTGTCCTAATTACACACTTACAAGAAGAGTCACATGTCTAATTTTCAAGCATAAATTATTGGTTTTCAATTTTTACTATAGGATTTATGTGGAATTGACAAATAGTTTGATTTTTTTTAGCCCATCCAATTCGCTCTAAAGGATTCAGGGCGGTTGACTATGTTCCTAGATTTCAGGGGTAAATTATTGATTCAAGGATTATATATTATGTTCCAAGTGATTTAATTAATGTATGATCTCACCTTTTTCTTCAACTATTTCTACATTTTGTCAATATTTCACCTTTTATACTTAATTTTCTAAATATTAACTACTTTGTCTTGCATAAGGTCATTTGTGAGGCCATAAATTATGATGAAATTAACTGTTCTTAGTAAGTTTGGATGCATACAACTTCCCTGAGAAGATGGCCTCTCGAAGAGGTAAACCTCCAAACAGGTTGTGAACATGCATACTGCCCTGCCCTAAAATATCGTCCCAGTTCATTGCCCGGCTGCTAGCTACGCGAGGTCTCTGCAACTACCACTCAACCCATGCCTAAGCGACCCAAGAGCGCGTGTGCGTGCACACAAGGTGGGCACGCCGCGGCCGCACGGCGCACGCGCAGCAAGCGACTCAGCACAGCACAACATGCACGACGTTGCATGAATAGGCGCATAGACGTTTGCGGCACTGGTGAACTCTGCCGGTGTGAGGCGCGGCCGCTAGCACGACTCGTCATTCACCTGCAGTGGGCATGTGCAGGTGCCTGCGTGACAATGAAGTATAGATGACTCTTTCTCTATATATATATTCATATAGATAAAATAATGGCTAACATTGGGTTTAATCTGAGATCATTTTCACTAGCGGGAGATCAAAATGGGAGTGCCCGGCATTCTTTTGAGAGATTATTTCAGTCTATAAGAGTTTTCTTTAGCTGGATCACAAGGATTCTTCAACCCATGATCAGCCTTCTGCTCCCATACCCTGTAAGAACTATTAGGGCCCATCCTCATGATCACAGGCTTGACCACCATATGAATAAGAAACTCACATGCTAACAAAGATCACTCACATAGATTAAGCAAGGGCAAGCATAGATGAAGGTTCTCCGGAAGTTCTTACAAAAAGGAAGGAAGGCATTGCCCTGGCGAGAAGAAGCCATGGATCCGCATCTGGGCAGGCTCCCCCTGTTGGATCCTCCATGAAACACCTGAGATTGACTGAACGCAGAAATGTAGGGCAGATGGGAGATGAGAAGAGAGAATTGGAGAGCACGAGAATATAAATCTTTATTCACGCACCAGCAAGATGATGATTATAAGAACATATCTATATTCAGGTAAACAGAAAAAAGGTAGGTGATAAATTTCATGCCAGAGATAAACAGGAAGTATGGTGTTCTCAACCGATTTAGAACGCTGGAACCAGATATAGCAAAACCCCAACCAGAAACAATGGGATTATACCACGTACAGCCACCATGGTCCGACTGAGAAGAGCAAGAAGGTGGAAGAGAGGGCGTGAAGGGATGAAGAGTTACAGAGCAGGGATTATCAGGGGAAGGAGAAGGACAAGGAAGGGGGCGAAGAAATCATACACAGGTTGAAGAGGGAGTTCATGGAGGAGAATATAGCGCAGGAACAAATGCAAGAACAATGGATAACCAGAGGCACAAGGAATCCCTTGGAGGCCGCTTGATTGTAGAGGATCTATAGAACACTGGAAACATTAAACCACTCTTCCCAAAATATAGTTTATAGCAACAATTAGGGAGATGGTAGGGACCAGAGATTGGGAGAGGGACTGAGCATGAACGAGGCCTGAGAGCTGTTACCCCAGAGAAAGGTTTTCACCATGAAACCTGCGTTTAAGAAAGTAGCAAATGATAGCTTGCAGGCGTCAGATTGGCATCCATTTGATTGGTTGCGTATCTCCTCAGCCAATCTCAATTCCATGGTATTACTTTGGAGATGGATTCATGATTAAGGTTTCCTAACAGAAGTCTAGGATACCTTCTAGGAAGGCTGAAAGATCCTCGAAAGAATCACTAGCTGTTACCTGAGGAGACATCAGTCGGACCTTGCCGACGAGATCATGCCGGTCTGCCTTGCGTAGGCGAAGATTCCACCAGCCTCGACCACCGGCCCTGCGTCGCCAATCGGCTTCAACGTGTACTGCTTCCCTGTGCTGTGATTGATGAGCGCGTTCTCGGCGAGATCCACGGTGACGATGTCCCCCGTGGAGCACTCCTTCCACATTCCCACGGCCTCCGACTCGACAGGGTAAACCTCTCCGGTGGAAACGGAGTTGCGGAAGAAGATGCGGGCGTAGGACTCGGCGACGACGGCCCTCACGCCGGCCGCCCCCAGGGCGACGGGCGCGTGCTCGCGGGAGGAGCCGCAGCCAAAGTTGGAACCCCCGATGATGATCGGGAATCTGGTGGTCTCGTGGCCGGGCTCGACAAAGGGGATCGGATACGCATCGTGCGGGAGACCGATTAAGGCGAAGGATCCAAGCTTGCGGTACTCGTCGGGCTTGGAGGGGACGAGGGTGAGGTACTGTGCGGGGATGATCTGGTCGGTGTCGATGTTGTCTCCCACCACGTAGCAGGGTCCATGGAAGGTGGATGTGGAAGACCTCGCCGGAGTGGCGGCGGCGGCCACGACGGGGGAGAAGCGTGGGGAAGGATTTGGGAGGTTGATGCAGGCCGATGAGAGATGCTGTCGCCGCTTGGCGATGGCGACGAAGGGGGAACCAACAGAAGAAGACCTTCTCTGCTGGTGGTGACGAGAGAGAGGGGAAGAGAGGAGAGCACCGCCGCTCGCCGTCGCCACCGCCGCCGCGGCCGTCGTCGTCGTCGTCATCTCCGCTGTGCCAGGGCAGAATGGTGTATCCGTGAACATTTTCCTCTCTTAATAAATTTGGTTTCGAATTCCTGGAAATGGGCCAATTCGTCCACGACGCAGCCTAGCCCATTAACCGGCTGAAGGAAGATAAGACTATCTGGGCCACCGATGGCTTCAGGCTCACCTTGGTAAAAACGCATTGGGCCGAATTGAGCTCGATTGGGCCGAGATGGGCATCCCAAGCTAAATATTACCACGGTCATGGTCGTGTCCCACGAAAGCGCTCAACACTCCCGTCACCTGATCCGGACATAACCTCAGTCACAGAGACGGACAGAGATGGGAAGTTGGAGCCTGCTGCGTCTGGAGAGACGGAGAGAGAGAGAGAGAGGAGAGAGATGATAGATTGGTGATAGATATATGGATAGATAGATAGATGGGTGATAGATAGATAGGATAGATAGGCAGATAGATAAATGGGTGATAGCTAGATAGATAGATAGATAGATGAGTGATAGATAGATAGGATAGATAGGCAGATAGATAAATGGGTGATAGCTAGATAGATAGATAGATAGATAGATAGATAGATAGATAGATAGATAGATAGATAGATAGATAGATAGATAGATAGAGCAAGAGAGAGTGAGGAGAGAGAGAGAGGATTTAGTGATCTTGCATGTGTTTAATATGTAGAGAGACATTGACAGAATGCTATGTCCTACATTGCGACCAAAATTGGTTAATGTGGAAGGAGATTTGGAGTGAGGTAGAGTTGAGAAGCGTTCTCCTCTTTAGGTTCTGGTTGGGAGAGTAATCCACATCCATTTCTAGGGTTATCTTTTGGTGATTTTTGGCTCAGCAGTAGCCTCCATTTACTCATCTCCTTGAGGCTATTATTAGAAGTCATGGTAGTTTCCATGTTAGTGCTTGCACTATGTGTAATGTAGCCCTAGAAAAATGATTTGGTGAGTTACCCATGTGTGCTATTAATGAACTTCACACTATAGAGGATGTTTTAGTGTGTTATAATATTATAATTATCAGAAAAATATATTATATCATGTGATATATAAATAAATTATCAATGGCTTGAAATATTCATGTACTCATCTTTGGAACTCTATTTGTTTATGCATTTTCAATAGTTTAACTTCAATGTCTCATTGAATTTGAATTTGTTGCAATTTTTCAAAATATTTTATGAAAATTTATCCTTGATCTATTTTAATTTTTTGATGCTCTTAGTTTTGATATTACAAATGAAAATTTATTTATTGAATATTTAATGTTATTTATACATGTCTCAAAGTTATATCGAGTACTTGATATGTATAATGTGATTATCATGTAGATTACACTTAATAATTTTATGATTCTATCAACTAACAATTGAATCCAAGGTATCATTCTTTGAGATCCAAAAAATCTTCATCATAGGAACACGGTTGTTGATCAAAAAAATATCAAATAATCATTATTTGATAATATATGTATGATTAAATTAGTATAGGTAGCTTCAGATCATGATATTATTTATGTCTAATTTTTAAACTAACCTTGAGATGTAGCATCTAGCCCTCCCAAATAGACATAGACATTTTCCTACATTTTTAGGTGCCGAGTCATCAAAAAAGTTTGAAAAATGTAAAAAACACAAGTAAGCCTCAAATTGAGCATTTAGATAGTGACACATAAGCAACATATATGGATAAAAACTCAATATGAATATGATTATTTGGATGGGTCCTTAAAAGAAAAGTTGTTTGCCATCAAGTAAGAAAGATCAACTTGAAATAAAATGGACTAAAATAGGAAGATTCCAATCATACAAGTCAAAGATTGTTACCATGTGTTATAAAAAATGGGAAGTTTTGAATGAGTTTCCTAAATATTAGAGACTCTGTGAAAGTGAAAAACAATTGTATGACAACATCTAATAAATAAGGAGAGCCTTGAGAAATAGAAGATGGTTCTCCACACAAATTTAAGCAAGAAAGTCAAGTTTTGCCCATCGAACACATCAATGATGAGCATAAAGCTACATCTCAATCTTCAGTTGACTTCAACAAATTGAGCAACATCTGATTTAAAGGACCATATTGTCCAATAGGCCCTAAGGTAACTAGTTCGTGAACAAACAAGTTGTTGGAAGGAAAGATGAGGTGCTAGCAGCCTAATTTTATTCAAAAAGGCTAAAGTCTTTGTGGAGATGAACTTGAGTGGTTGGATAGCTGAGGCCATGAATGTTAGTTTGTATTTCCTATGGGAAATCGTGAAACACTAGTAGGAAGACTCCTCCAAGATTAGACATAACTAGGTGAGAGACAAACTAATAGAAAAATATTAGTGTCTCTATAAGAGAGAATTACATGCACACAGATGTTGACACATTTAGAGATAACTCACATATGTGATAGGCCAAAACCATTAGTCCAAGATTTTTAGAATCCTTTAAAAACTCAATTCATCCTCCTCTCTTCTTAGAGTTACATCCAACCCTATAGTTCTAACATTTTTGAGTGTTAATTCCACTAGTTGACTAATTTAATTTAGGTTTAGATCTCAACAATATTTACAATGTATCATTTCTATACTTGTACTGAAATATTAATAAAAAAATTAAACAAAAATGACCCTCTATAAATTAGATATTTGCCAATAATTAGAAAATATAAGATACATGATTAAAAAAGATGTCATTTAAGTTTTTAGGAATAAATTAATGTTGATTATGATATCCAACTACTATTTTGGCTCACATGGTGATCACTTTAAAGTTTAAGAATTAAAAAAAATACTCAAAAATTATATTCTAATTGTGCCTAGTGTCCAATAGAGCTAGATTTAGGTGTTGTGATTTTAGAGCGACAAAGCTTATAGCCAATAGGTTCTCTAGATACCTTAATAATTACGCCAGGATTTCTTAGAATCTACATCAGCTGGTGTGATTCTCATTCTACAATTGTAAAAACTTATGAAATATCAATCACTAACTACAATTTCACATCAAAAGCTAGACTCCAATATTGCAGCTTTCTAGAAATTTGTAGGTGTGCAATCTTTAAGAAAATGTTGCAAAGTGTGTCATAATTTTCTAACTTCAATATAGGACATTTAGCCTATTGGTCAACCCAAACGGTGATTTTTTACATACTTGGACTAAGTAACAAGTGATTTATAAAATTACTCTTAGTAAAGAAATTTTTTCTAATAAAATTATTCAAGGAATGACTACTTTTTGGTACACATAAAAGGTATGGGCATGAAATTGAAGCCAGAGACTAGAAGTTGTGTAAATTACATAGAAATGTAGTTGTCAACTTTAATCTCATAGAATTGCAACAGGTAACCTTGTCATATGCAAATAAACCATTCACATGTAGTTGAGGACTCTGAAGTCAATTTGTAACTAAAAGATCTAAAGATTAGTGCTGACAATCAACCATGTGGTCTGGTAGATTTAGAAAGTTTTTTTCTTGTCCAACAGCTATAGATGCTGTTGTGATCCATGTTCAGACATGAAACTTCCTTAGTTAAGCATGAATTATTCCACTTAAATAACATGGGGTAAAACTATGGTTATGAGGTGACACGAGAGGAGGTCGGGTCCTTTGTAATCAGGACTTGATACCCGTACGATTTTAAGAAGGTACAGGCATTGCTGTGTCCAGAAAAGGAGCATATAATAAATAATAATAACAATAATAAGAAGAGAGAGAGAGAGAGAGAGAGAGAGAGAGAGAGAGAGAGTGAGAGAGGAGGAGGCTGATCGGAGCAATTGCTCATAGTGCAGGTCAATAAAAGCTAGCCCCGAACGGAAAAATGGCCTGTTCTTGGAGCGGATCTTAGTTTTACTTTGATTCTCTCTCCAGCCCCACCCGACTCCACCCTCTTCCCTTCTTTTCTTTGTTTCTGTTCAAAAATATAATTCTAAGACGGCACGGAACTTGGATGAACCTGTAGTCAGCTGCATCTGCAAATGTCGTTGACAGAAGTCCGTCGTGGGGGAAACCCTTACCCCCTTTCCGTCGCTCTCTGGAATGGAGAACCACACATACCGGAAGAGGATATGGAGAGACGACACCATCATCAATGGGTCGGCGTACCAGTGACCATCCAAATGGCTGCTTGTTCGCAGATGTTTCCTTCCTCGTCCCCATTTTCCTTTAACGAAGACGGCTATCCAACTCATGCACGCGTAAGGGTTTAATTTCTGTGTCGGCTTAATCATCGATCATGTTTCTGTCGACTTTTGATCTGGAACTTATGGATTTATGTTCTGTTTTCCTCATGAATACCCTACATCTGTCTTCCTCTCTATCTCTCTCTCCCCCCACCCCACACACACACACACAAAAAGAGGCACACAAACACCGACACACGGAAACGCCGGCATTTTCGTCGTCCCAGAAAATGAGCATAATAAAGGGGAGAGAGAGAGAGAGAGAGAAGGTAACTTGGATCGGGTCTTAGTTTTACTATGATCCCCTCTCTCTCTCTCCCCCGCGTCACCCAACTCCACCAGTTGTCCCTCCCTCTCTTTCTTTGTCTATTAAAAACTATAAATTTAAGACGGCGCCGGAACTGGGATGCACCTGTAGTCAGCTGCATCTGTCGTCGAGAGAAGTCCGTCGTGGAGAACTATTATCCCCTTTCTGTGTCTCTCTGGAATGGATAACCACTCGTACCGAAGTAGGATACGAAGAGACGACAAAATCATCAATTGGTCGGCGTACCAGCGGCCGTCCAAACCGCGGCTTGTTTGTCGCCCCCCTTTTCCTTTAATCAAGACGGCTATCCATCCAACATGCGTAAGGGTTTTCTTTCTTTGTCGGCTAAATCATCGATCACGTTTCTAGTTGACTTTTCATGTGGAGCTTCTGGATTTATGTTCTATTTGTCATAATGAACACCTTAGATGTTTCTTCCTCCTTTCCTCCCTCCTCTCTTTCTCTCTTTCCCTTTCTCTCTCCCCCCTCCCTCCCCGGCACACACAGTCACAAACACCGTCATGCACTCTCTCTCCTCTCTCTCTCTCTCTCTCGATCTACCCGCCCTCTTTTTGTCGCACTTGAACCCACACGGGCACTATATCTATATCGCTGTGTCCCTTCCTCTCCATAGCGACCACACGGGCGCCTCGCTCTCTCCCCGTTCGTCGCTTCCTCTCAGTTGTGGGACGAGGGTACTATGAATGATACGTAATTAATGACTCATCCGAAGATTCAGCGTCTTCCTCTCGTCCCCTGTTCTCCCTTCGGTCGAAGACCATTGAAGCTGCATGAGTCACGTCACGGACGTCCCGCTCCTCGTTCACAGGGCGGCCTGCCTTGTCGCGGATCAATACATCGAGCTGATCGCCCCTGATGCGCCGGCCCATTGATTACTGTGGTCCGTCCTGTCTGCTCTCTGACGTGATTCCCTCTGGAGGAAGGCAGTGCAGGAGGCTCTCTTCATTATCGTAATCTCATCTGATCTTAATAATGTCGAAAGAAGCTTATATCTGTAGAACTCCACGTGGAGGCAAGGGGGTACGAGGAGATTAGGCGGCTGACAGGTGGCAGAGGGAACCCACGCCTCCTCCTGTGATGGTAGAGTTGAGGACCATCCTACATCAATTACCAGACAAGTAAGAAGAAGAGAAGCTTGAGTCTGATGTACCCTTCAGCTTGAACAGATAACTATATGCTTGCTCTTCACATTCTTGACTAGTTTTAAGGTTTATGATCAAATAACCAATAACCCTGATCTATTATCACAATTGGCAATTGACTCTGGACTTAAATGTGATAGTATGACTCTGGCAATTGACAATCCTATTTTAACTACTGCCAGAATAAATATGTGCTTGGTAAGAAATTCCATTTCAGGATTTGTTCAATAGCAAGACCTTTGATCATCCAATAGCTTTTATAAGTAACGCCACATGGGAGATAATGGGGCCTCTGGGTTTGAACATTTAAAATCTTAGGCCTGAAATAAACAAGTGGGGGTTTGGATAGAACACGGTGACGGATAGTCTATTTCTTAAGTAGAAATTTTGATAGGGTTTATCGACTAACTTGTTTTATCGACGTTGGTCACGGATGGCCTGAACGAAATACATCGACGTTACGAATAGCAATTCATTAGAAGCGGAATAGCCTCCCCCCCCTCTCTCTCTCTCTCTCTCTCTCTCTCTCTTTCTCGTTCTCTCCTATGCTGCACATTGAGATACTCTCTGTTTCTCTTTCTCTCTCAATCATTCACACCTCCAGCTATGTCTCTCTTAATGATTCTCTCTCTCACACACTCTCCTTCTCGGTTTCTCTCTCTCTCTCTCTCTCTCTCTCTCCCTCCCTCTCTCTCGAGCTCTCTCCCGATTACTCACACTCTCTCTCTACGTATGAATGGAAAAAATGGGCTTTTACCGTTGTTACCTAAAGACGGTCACACAAAAAGTAGTGTTACACTGTAAAAACAACGCTTTAACGCCTGAAAACTCCCAAGTGGGGCATCCCGACGGATCCCATCCACAGAGTGCCATTCCTCTCCTCTACCTCGCTGATGAACGGCAGCCGCCACCCTTTCGTCCCCACCAGCGTCTCGAGAACCTCGCCGTCTTCCCCCAGCCGCAGCGCGAACGCCGCCGCTTTCCATCTGAGGACGAACGTTGCCACCTTCTCCATGTCCAGCGGCAGCTTCCAAAGCAGCTCCCCCAGCCACGGGAGGGGCACGATCATCTCCAGCTCCTTGCTCCGCCGCGTGTGCATCGCCACCCAGAAGCCGCCGCTGGGGCTTCTCTTGATGTTGTCGGGGAATCCTGGCAACTTGCCGAGCACTTCCTTTTCTCCGGCCCTCGGCGACCGGAGCCAGTACCGGAGAACCCGGCAGGGGATTGTCTCCACAACGATCAGAAAGCTGCCATCTTCGCTCAAGGCTAAACCGTTGGGGAAGGAGAGGCCATTCACGAGGACCTTCACCTCCTCCGTCTTTGGGTCGTAGCTCATCAACCTCCCTGTCTTGTCGCCGCACAGAACTGCCACGACGAAGTCCCTGCAAAATGCGAATAAAATTGTGAACATCAACCGCGTATTTAATGTATCTGATGCGGGATTAATCAGATCGACGGCTACCTTCTCCGGAATCGGGTGCTGGTGTCGGTGAAGTAGACGATGCCGGTCTCCTGGTCTATGTCGACCCCATTGGTGAATCCGAAGGGGACACCTTGCGCTGCCGTGGCGACCACCTTCGTGCTGCCGCCGTCAGGGCTGACCGACAGCAGGCCGAGGTAGGCGTCGGCGACATAGAGGTCGCCAGTCTTGTGGTAGAACTGCAGACCCAGTGGGCGTCCGCACACGTGCTCCCAGGTCCTGTGCTGGGAGCCCCCACAGTACTCTCGCTTCCTGAAGAAATTCACGGTAAAGACGAAGCTTAACACCTGCAAGGTCGCTTGAAATTAGGGCTGCGGAAGTCGGAAAATTTGTGATTCCCTGGAACTTAATATGGGGTAAGGTTGCAACTTGAGGAAGGATTGATCAAATCGATAAGGCTTCAACGAGGACGCCTACACAGAACGAGAGAGAGAGAGAGAGAGAGAGAGAGAGAGAGAGAGAGAGAGAGAGGAGAGAGAGAGAGAGAGAGAGAGAGAGGAGAGAGAGAGAGAGAGAGAGAGAGAGAGAGAGAGAGAGAGAGGAGAGAGAGAGAGAGAGAGAGGGCTGCGTACACGTGTGGTGCAGATACGGCGAATTGGCGCCATCCCCTATCTGGACCTTGCCACTGAAGGATCCTGCCATCGGAGACGCCGGTATAAGGACCTCCACCGGTGGCGTCGAAGGCGAGGCTCTCAGGTCCGATGGCGCCGTCCAGAGAGATCAATTGTATGCCAGAGGTCTCCTCGTTGGCTTCGCCACCGCCGCTAGGAGTATATCGGCGGAGAGGATCGATGGAGAGGACGAGGAGTACCACAGCCAGGACGGAGGATACGCAGGCAAACCTCGTCCCCATGAAGGCTCGTTTTGTGTGATCTAACAAACGAACCCAGCGAGAGGGAGAGAGAGAAAGATAGAGAGAGAGAGATAATCGAGAAAGCTAAGAAACGGCAGGCCTTTTAAAGGAAGGAATTCCCGTGCGAACCGGAGTTCCCACCAATCGGGAACATATAACTCGTCAGAGTTTTGCTGCGGATATTGATGCATCAACCGTCGATGAGAGGAGATAAATTCCTTACGGAACCCTGCTGGGGCGAACAGTCGGTAACCAAAAGGGAATGAATTCAGACAGTGACAAGCGGACTGTGGCGATCGCACCCACGCACAGGCGGAAGGGTGAACGCTCTCCCCTTTGCCGCCCCCCCTTGCCGCTAGATTTGCAGCGAATCCATCTGAGATAAGCCGACCTGTCCACATGGGTGCGTATTTTTTTATCGATTAACTCTCTCTCTCTCTCTCTCTCTCGCTATGTCAGCCTCCCTATATCTTTCTCTCCTTTCATACCTCCTCTCTCTCTCTCTATCGCCCTCTCCCCACGTTTTTGTCCCACTCAAACTTTAACTCTTTCTTCCTGTAACTTTGTCTCACTCTCTCCATTTCTTTCTCTCGCGAAATATCTTTTCCTCCGCCCAACCCCTCTTCTATTTGTTCGTAAAATAACACCTGTCTGCAAATTGTCACGTAGTTCATCATATAGTTTATACTGAATCTTGGACACTTTCGTAATGATGTTCGCTGTGGTTGAATCTCCCTTTATGTTATCCATTTTTATATGCCTTATAATCACGAATCTATCATCCCAGGGGTTAAGCTATTTATCCCCGATTTCAACCTAACCCTTAATTATCGACTCATGGGTAAGCCTCTCAACTCTCATCTCTCATCTTTCATCTCTCTCTCTCTCTCTCTCTCACTATCAACATATATATATATATATATAGATATATATATATGCATATCTTAACTTTTGTATGTGTCCATCTGTCTAGGTTCTTTTCCACGAATCTCCTCTCGGTAGACAGACTACCCTAAAATCATATCCGCACTCTCTTATTTACCCGACCCTCCAATCTCTATCGTTTCTCCCTCCATCCCTCCACATTTCTCTCTCTCTAGCTCCCTCCTCCCTACAACGCTCTCCCTTCGCCCTCAGCCTGTCTGTCTGTGTCTCTCCCCCTCTTTCTTCCCCTCTCTCTATCTCCAGGACAAGCACACACACCCACTCACCGACACACACTCCCTTCCCTCTCCGTCTTCCTCTCCCCGCTACAACTCTGTCGCTCCCTCTCCTCTCCCCCTCCACCCCCACCCTTTTCCCCTCCTCATAACTCTCGCTCTCTCTCTCTCTCTTTCTGTCTGTCTTCGTCCTCTCTCCCTCTGAATGCATATATGTACGCCATATCTCCATCTCCAACTCGTCACGATGGGGTTAAGCAAACCCGTGCCTGTCACACCCAGCATCATGTTCTGAGTCGGGCGAACGTCAGAATAGTCGCTTCGCCATCACGATCCCAATTAGTCTCCGCTCCCCATGGGCCACGACGATCAACATGGCCACGGTCCCCTCCCACCGATCCAATTCAGGAGGGACAATCCACGCATACTCCCACGTCCTCAAATAACTGGACCCATATGAAAATAATTTATATGCACGCACACAGTCTACACAATCAAGCTAGGAAAAGAAAAATATATGAACCACGCCCGGCTAGTATCTGGCCTAAACAAGAGATCCGTCCCCGAGATCTTTAATCATGAACCTGTCTGTCGGTCACTCAAATGGTTCTCTCTCTCCTCTCTCTCTCTCTCTCTCTCTCTCTCTCTCTCTCAAATAGTTGAAAATGGGATGCATTGCCGGGACAGGGCATAATGAGTGTTGGCCGAGACCCCAATGACGGTTTATCCTCCTCAGGCCGGGCTGCGTGTGAAAACGGGTATGTGATCAGAACTTATATCTTTCCCTCAGGTATGGGCGGTAGGTGAGGTAAAAAGAAAGTACATGCGAGATGTACCACCATCACAAGAGGTATGAGACAGGGTACTAGACGAGGACACTTTTACAATTGGCTAGTTCTAGGATTGTAAAAGAATTGAAGTCCCGTCTGGCCTGGCCCAGCACATCGACGCCCCTTCTTCCATTTGCTTTCATTGAAGAACAAAGTTTTTTTAATGACACTTCTCTATAAAAAGATCAGAAACCGTGGGTTGCCATGGTCTGACTTGTTCTTAACTATTGTAGCATCTTAACCCGCGTGGGCAATATGGTGGGGCAAAGGCTCCCCTTTGACCATGCTATTTATAGAGCAGCATGCTTACTTTAATTTCATCTCCCCATATATCGTTGGATGAAGTAGTACTGAGGTTTCCACAGGGGTAATATCTTAGGAGAAAGTACTCGTTATTTAGAAACAAGGATAATTGCAATATTTTTCTCTACAGGACATCGTCGTACAAGCTATTGTTGAGATGGCCGCCTTCTCTGGCATTATTTTCGGAAACATTACCCATTTGTCCTGATTAATTTCAAAGTAGGATGCTTTCCATCATTCCCTATCACAGGGCGTCTCACAGGCTACTCATGAGATACCCACTTCGATGATATTTTAGTAAAAAGAAGTACCCACTTCCCCATAGTATTTGGAAGTTAGCAGCCTTTCAATATTCAGTTTTTACCATTGGCAAGACATCGATGTACAAGCTTACTGAGATGCCCACAAACTGGGGTAATATTTTAGGAAAAAGGCATTCGTTCGTCCGAATTAGTTACGTTTCACGCTTTCAAGAATTTCTTGTCCAGGGCATCGTCGGACCAGCTGCCAATGAGATATCCGATCAAAGTGATATTCCTTGTATTTAAGTGGGGTTATTAAATGGGGACTATCAACATGTGGTGATCCATGAATATGTTCTGATAGGTTGCCGTGTGGACCAAGGCAGCCTTGTTAGAGACGTTACTATCTTGTTCTGTGATGGTGGTGGTGATGGGGGGGAAGGTGGCACCTGGTGGCGGTGGTGGGGTGTGTGTGTGGAAGGGGGAGGAGGGGGGGTGGCAGCTGGTGACGGTGTTGATAGCAGGCGGCGGTGGTGGGGTGTGTGTGTGGAAGGGAGAGGAAGGGGGGGGGGGGTTGGCAGCTGGTGACGGTGGTGATAGCAGGCGGCGGTGGTGGTGGTTGTGGGGAGACGGCGGCACCACCATAATGGATCACTGCCGTCACCGCAGTGAAACGGGAGTAGGCGGCATTGATTTATTCTGAAATTATTTCTGACTCTCCGTGCATAAATTCGTTCCTATTTTTGCGAGTCGCGGGTGAAGAGAATGGTTCATTGATTCGAAACGTTAGAGAAGGAACCTTGGTCCAGGAAGGCAAACGTTTAAGCACAATATATTCGAGTGAAGGGTCACTTCAGTCTTTTGGAAACCAGGGTGGGGAAACGGTATCGGTGGGGAGGCTCTACACACCATATACTCGTTGACTCGCGATCTTCATTTATAAGGGAGGGGAAAAAGAAAAATATAAAACAAGGTCTGATTCGAGTGTGTTGTGAAGACCAGGGGAAGGGGATTCACTTTGGGTTGGGAGATTTGTGGATGGGGACTGCGGGGATTTGTTAGGGGGAAGAGAGGCGTGGAGGTTGCATATGGAGTGCTACTTGAGATAGAGGAGGGGATTGTGGCTAGTGGGGGACTCTAATAGTTAGTGATGATAGAAATGTGCTAAGGGGTCTAATTGTATATTAACCATACTTAACATCCAATGAGAAATTATAGTTAAAGGTGAAAAAATGTGAGTGTTTAAGAATCATAGATATTGTGAAATAAAAGATCATTCAATGCTTAATAACATTGAATATCATGATAAATGATTTGGACATGTATTTTGTGTTCATGTTTTGATAAAGTCCTCTATTTAAAGTTGTACGGATCAAAAAATATCACAAGAAATAATGAAGGCCGTTACAAGGTGAAATTGTGCTCTCAACTAATCTTTTTTGCTATTGCAAATACGGATAATGTTTGACTGATATATCACTTGACACTTCCATTGAGAAAAATGTGTTATGAAGTTTGAATGGAATGTAAAATATGGAGGTCATTATACCAATAACTCAAAAAACTTGGGTCAAATTTAATAATTCCAAAAAGTTTGACGTACTTTGCAGGAGTGTTGTCCTTTTTTGTTTTCCATCTCCATCATGTGTTACTTGCACATGGCAAAGATCACATTAGAGTAGTTATTTTCATCTAACTTTCCATGTCCAATTATGATTTGGAGCAGGTAGTAAGTCATGTTTGGTGGCCAAACAACTAGATTGGCATCTTGCATGTGTTAGGTGGACCCCTTTTAAGGATTCAAAAAATTATTAAATAATAATAAAAAATCTCTTGCCATTAGTCTTCTGAAATCTCCTTCATGAGAAAGTTTATCATCATTTCAAAAGCTTGAGGAATCTTCTGACAATTTTCAATTTCTTATACACTATCACTCATGCTTTATCATAGCTTTATTCTCATTTTCCTCCATGGAAAGAGATCTGGGACATCGAATCCAATTTGTAAGTCTGATAACAAATCCTCCCATAGAGAAGGGTATCAATCAAAATAGTTGAACCTGTTGAGATGATGGTAGTTTGAAGGGTTTATTTATTTAGCAATAAGTGCAACAATTCTAGTACCATGATGAATTTTCCCTTTTTCTCTTTCCTCCATCCTACTATTTCTTCTCCTTTCTTCCTTCCTAATTCTTGCTTTATCTCCACTTATTTTCTTGTTTGGCTCATTATGTGATCTCATACTTTGGACCTCTTTGTAGCATCTAATGTCATGAGTTGACAATGAGCATATGTTCTCTCTCTCTCTCTCTCTCTCACTCACTCACTCACTCACTCACTCACTCACTCTCAACCTATTTTTGCCTCTTCACAATTTGACATGCATTGTATATATTATATTGCACGTTAGCAAGTGATAAAAATGTTTTTTAATAGTATATAGTATTGTGTAGGTATTAATGACGA